AAAAAAAAAAAAAAAAAAAATGATATTGGTTTGATTGATTTCTTATTTCCCAGATCCCCCGGGTCCGGCGAAACTAACTTATTCTCCTTGGCGAGTTATAAAGGGTCAGTCGTTAGTAGTTAGCTGCAGCGTGGAAGAGAAAGGGAGACCTGAATCCAACAGGTAAAAGACATTTATATCTATTTTTCACCTTTTTAACTGCATTTGATTAATATTTTTTAATTTAATACAGAAAACCATGTTCATAAATTTTCCAAAGGTAATTCATAACAGCGCCATCTATGTTTGATGTAAGTTATTATTTTTAGTTGCCCAATTACTCGACATAGATGGCGCTGTATAAAATTTAAAAATCTGAGAATCATATTTCACAGTTGTTTAGTTACTAAATATAGATGGCGCTGTTATAAAAATCAAAAATTTTGATACTATGAAATTTATTTCACAGTTGTTTAGTTACCAAACATAGATGGCGCTGTTATTTTTTTTTTTACAAATACAAATTGTTATTTTCAGGTTCCGTTGGCACCGCGGGGGTCGTCTAATGAGTGACATTGTGTCAGCTGACTGGACTATAGACCCTGTCACTTTAGATCACAGAACAAACTTCTCATGTCGGGGAAATAACTCTGCAGGCGAGGGGGAACCTGCATTCGCTAATATTGATGTATTAGGTAACTTTTTATCTATACAATACTAGCTGTTGCCGTGCGGCTTCACTTGGAATAATAACTTTGTTTTATAGTTTTCAAATCAAATTCTTATAGTAAATGTCAAAATTACCGTAAGTGTTACTGTTGCTTCCTTAATGTTGGCAGCTTGTAGTTTAAAGTCCCTTTCCCACACGCTATTAAACTTTAGGGGTAAATAAATTGGAAAAAAACCGTCATGTGTGAAATTTTGACAATTGCAATTGTATTACTAATGTAAACTATAAAATAAAAATTTTATTACTTCATACAAATTCGCATGGGAACAGCGATACTATATTTTTAAATCAAAATAATTACTATTTCAGTATTTGAATGCATGTTATTCTAAAACGTTCAATTTCCAGCGCCGCCAAGTTTCAAATACGCTATGAATCATTACAGCGGAGCTCTCTACAGATCTCAGGTTAGTTTATTTCGTTACTAACTTATTTTCAATTAAAAACTCTATCGAAAAAATCTTTGTCCAAACGGAATTCGAGATTTTTAACTCATAAAATATCCAATACTTACTTATTGGTGAAAATAACCATAATTTTATTTAATTCGTTCAATATTGTACTAACTAATAGTTTGAAAATATATTTAGATCCCGTCTTAACAAATTGTAAATTATCTGATAATCCAATGTGTAAAATATGTAGAAAATATCGGATTTTATTACCTTATCTGACAGTGACGTCATTAAGCTATCTGAGCCTCTATCAGCCAGTTGTGGGACAGGTCCTTAATATGAATGCGAATGTTTAGATGGATGTTTATTAAAGTTAGCCTAAACTGCTGAATGAATATCAATTATTGTCATAAATATAGAGGATAGTCTGTAATACATAGGCTACTTACTTTTGTGTTTTTAAATCCACGCGGACGGAGTCACGGACGGAAGTTAGTTTATTAAATAAACTAGCTGTTGTGTACGACTTTGTCCCCGTTGAATAAACAAATAGTAGAAAAAATAGCCTATGTTAATTATTGATAGCCTAGCTTTTTAATGGTGAAAGAAGTTTTTGAGTTATTTCAATACATACAAAAATATAATTCTTTTCTCTTTATATTAGTATAGCTATTGCCCGCGACTTCGTCCTCGTGGTATTATAAAACATACGAACTATATAAATAACAAAAAGCTACGTATCCCACCGGAACCAGACATTTCTCGGAGGAACCTTATCCCATGTGAACTCCACACTTTGTTTTATATCTGTGCTACATTTCAATAAGATATGTGGAACCGTTTCAGAATGATCGAGTAAACATTAAAATAGTAAATTAATGAATCTTAACTATTTCCGGGATAAAAAGTAGCCTATGTTTTCTTCCAGACTGTGCTTTACGCGTATGGCAAATTTAATTAAAATCCGTTCAGCCGTTTAGTCTACAAACTGTAACAAACATCCATCTACACTTTCGCATTTATAATATTTATATGATAGATATTGCCTTATCAATAACATAAACAAAGAAAATTGTTTATACATAGATTGCAGCGCATGACAACACTCAGATGAATAATCGTTAACGTGTAGGTGTAACGTTATAACTGTTATAAATAGCTACTACCAATAGATTATTGACACTATAAACATTATTATCTATTATTTCTATAATTGAAATACATCGATAGATATATCGTAACGTATGTTTGTTTGTAAATATTGACTACGTAATCTGTAATCATTTGATTATATACTTGAAACTTTCACTAAAAGTACTGATTTTCTTTATTTTTAACGGTTTTTTTTATTAATTTAAAAAAAATTGTGTATAACGCCATCTAGTGTAAGTAATCCTTTGCTTTTCTAAAAAAATATATAACAAAAATTAAAGAAAGGACGGAAAATCTCAGATAATTTTGTAAGCGATCCAAAAATTAATTATTTTAGTTTCCTATTGCATTTTTTGTTTATAAAACACAAAGTTTCGCTCGCAGTTCTACGCGAAAAAAAACAACAAACATATCTGTTAGATCCTATAATCTATTCTGGAAATACTTTACAAACATCCATCCAAATTTTCGCATCTGTAAGATAAGGAATTACTCATTGCCATGTAGTAAAACAATATTAAACAGATAAACAAAATAAACAAACATCGTAACATTTATATATTTTTTTAGTTATGTACTTGTAAAAATTAAAACGAACGTGTAAAGTCAGGTGTAAACTTAGTTCTAGATGTGAAAAGAATTTAGTCTGTGAATCTGCACGGAATTGTTTTCAAGACGTGTTGTTTTATTGTTCTGTGAAATAATCGTTTATTAAATCAATATTTTAAAAAAATACTATAAATTGTGAAAAAAACTAAACTATAAATATTGCCATGCGTATAAATAATAATTACATAAATATAAAAGTTTTTACCTTTATGAGGTTAATGAGCGAAATTTGCTTATTTAATTAATTCGTACAGTTAGTTGTTTTTTTTTTAATGTTGCACAAAAAACTAAAGCTAACATTTATTTCATATAGATTAAAAAAAACTATAAACAGTGACAACTAATATTTTAATCTGTGGAATAAAGTGCTTTCTGAATATAGATTAAAAAAATCAAAGAAGAGGTTTTAAGAGAGTTCACGTATTGAACACAATTTTGAACTCTTTCAGAATATTTCCCTGTCGTGTACAGTGGAGTGCGCTCCGCTGTGCAGCGTGCAGTGGCTCAAAGATGACCAAGTCATTGATCCTGACAAAACTGACAGATATTATGTCGTCGAGAGGAAAATAGAACCTCAAGTTAATCGGAATGACTTCGAAGCTACTGAATCTACTTTGGTAAGCAAATCTCTAACTTAAATAGTAATACACGAACTTTTATTTTCATCATTTACATGCTTGTCTCAACTTTGTATTGTAAATACAAAAAGGGAGTATTCCCGACCGTCCTCCCGCTTTGTCTCCACAAGAGAATAAAAAGCTTTGTCCGTTCCACCTTTTAGTTCCACTATCATCAATAAAATAAGTTCCAACCGTGCCCTCATCGTAAAAGGTGAGACGGATGAACCTTTTTATTATCATCTGTCATCAAGTGGGGACAGAGCTGGGTGACGGTTGAGAATTATCCCAAAAATGTATAAAATTGATAGTGTTATAAAGTTTTAAATGTAATTCATGTGTTCTTAATAGAGTATACTATGCTACGCAACTGGCATGCCAGTTACTGGCACAATGTTTGAACACGCCAGTTAACGCCAACAATACCGTAGAAAAGACAGTGTCAAGCTTCGCATTACTCGACCTTACTGTCACAACTAGCTACTTACCCCCCACCTAATTCATTTTTTATTACAATTATACATTTATCCACTTTAACCCTTAATTCAATAATGTCCGGAAGAACAAATAATTTATAAAAAGTCTGCTACACTATTTAAAGAAAAATACGTAAGATTTTGATGTTAGTTGGTAACATGTAATTGCTACAAAAAAACCGTCGAATTAACAAATACAAATGGATAAAGAATCTTCGTAGTAATGTTTAGATGCAACCCTATATGGGTTGTGTGTAATATGATTGTGTACGCCAGCACTGGAACATGTCGGCGTGGGCTGGCGGCGTGCTGTCGCGCGCGGCCGACGTGGCGCGCTACACGTGCCGCTCGTCGCGCAACGCCGCCGGCCCGCCTGTCAACAGCACCACGAAGTTTGCTGTCGAGTGTACGTATGCTCTACTAATGTACACAAACATGTCCTATATACACTATTGAAATACACAAACGCAATCTTTACACACTGTTGGAACATTACACAAATGCATTCCACGTTTACACACCGTTGAAAGATAACAAAAATGCATACCTTCTTTACACACTGTTGAAACGTTACACAAACGCATCCTATTTTTACACAAGATTGAAATATTACACGAACTCATCCCATCTTTACACAAGTTGAAACATTACACAAATGCATCCCATCTTTACACACCACTGAAATATATTACACAAACAAATTCTACATTTACACATAATATCTGCGATACACGGGATTTTCTATAAAACTGAAATTACATTAAGTATTTGAAATATTTCAAAATTAAAAATTTTGTTAAAGTATTATATGCTTTTATGTTTCCTTTTAGATGAACCAGAGAACATAACAGTGACACCCCAAGTAGTCTCCGTTATTGAAAACAAAATACCGGGAAAAGTTGTCTGCTCAGCTAAGTAAGTTTACATATTAACTTAATAATATTAAAAATGTATTTAAAATTACTAATGTTGTTTGATTTGACTAACATTGCAAATGTATCAGAATCATAAAAACTAAAATAACGCCATCTATCGGTTTATAAAAATACATTAACGGTTTGCTGAAGTTTCCATTTATTTTATCACGAGCTGTTACCCGCGACTTCGTCCATGTGGAATTAGAAAACATACGAACTATACGAATTACAAAAATCTACGTATTCCTCGGGAACCGGACATTTCTCGAGGATGAAGCTTATCCTATGTGAACTTCAAACTTTGTTTTGTATCTGTGCTAAATTTCAATAAGATATGTTGAACCGTTACAGAATGATCGGGTAAATATTAAAAAATTAATGAATCCCACGGGAATCCGGGATAAAAAGTAGGCTATGTGTTCTTCCAGACTATGCTCTAAACCTGTGTCAAATTTCATGGAGATCGGTTCAGCCGTTTGGCTACAAACGCTAACAAACATCCATCCATCCATCCATCTAAACTTTCGCATTTATAATATGACTAAGATTCGTAAGATTACATGGAGATCCATTAGTGTAAGGAGTCAGTGCATTTTATGAAGTTATCGAATCATAAACACCGAATTAAATGTAGCTGGGAATCCGGCCATAAATATCACAAACTACAAATATTTTGAATCATGGCTGGTTACCATCTTTATTTAACCAGTTAGTGTTTCAAATTGTATTACAATACGTCAGTATAGGAAATATTGGGTTGATGAGCAAACCTTATCGCTTATCGCAACCGAATTATTTACATTTAATTGTCTCATCTGATTATTCATCATCATCATCATCAACGCCTTATCCTACTCCTGTACGACGCACCGGGTTTTCATCCTCCTAATAACAGTAGCATCCATCATCTCTGTCATCACCTTCTTGATCCTGTCACCTTTCTCGCAATCTCTTTCCATTCACTCATAACTAACATTTTCCTTGTAACATGCGATTCATCCCTCCTCATAACAAACCCATACCAGTAGTACTATAGAATTATAGAAATATAGATATAGGTTATTTCTAGCTACGTAATATCCTAGGTACTAAGGTTGCTTCAGCAATCGCAGCAGGCTATTAGGGATTCCTCGGGAGTACATACCAAGCTAACATCTTACTCCTTATTTTGTCAAACTCAATTTTCCAGCTATTTATAGAATGTTAAATGTCAGGGGTTTCCCGATGCCGAGCTACTCGTGGCGCCGCGAGGTGTCCAGCAAGAACCAGGGCAAGGAGCACAGCAACCGCTCGCTGGTGCTGTCGTCCTCCAGCACGCTGCTGCTGGGCGCGGTGCCGCGCGCGATGGCCGGCCGCTACCTCTGCCAGGCCCACAACAAGCACGGCGCCGTCAGCGCCGCGCTCTACCTCGACGTCTTGTGTCAGTACCACTCGCACTGCTCCCTTACTGCTTACTGCTTATTGCTGCTGGCCGGCCACTACTTCGTCCGCGTGCTAGGATAAAACATGCGAACTATATAAATAACAAAAAGCTATATATCCCACGGGAACCAGACATTTCTCGGAGGAACCTTATCCCATGTGAACTCCACACTTTGTTTTATATCTGTGCCAAATTCCAATAAGATATGTTGAACCATTGCAGAATGATCGAGTAAACATTAAAAAACTAAATTGATGAATCCCACGGGAACCGTAACTATTCCCGGGATAAAAAAATCATACTTTCTTCGGTCTTCCTCTACCTTTGTAGCCACACTCGATCACACCGCAATTTTCTTTCGATGGTATATATTTTTTATGATATTGTTAAGTTGTTGTAAAGTTGGAAAACTCGCAAGCGGCCACCTGAATCCACCGAAGTGGAAAGCGACCGCTGCCCATAAATATCCGCAATTACAGATGCGTTGCCTACCCTTCATTGACGGAGGGGGAGACGCACATAAAGTGGACATTTCCCCTACATATGCGTCTCCTCCACCGTCGAATCCACTTTTCCCTCCCATCTTCCTTAAAAAGGGTGGAAAGGGAAAGGGACTAAAATTAGGCCTTCGGTACCACACTTATCAGAGTGTAGTTGGAATTGCTTCCACTTTACGCCTGTCTTCTTTGTGGTCGTGGTATTGCTGGGGGTTTATTATTTCCCTTTTTATATTCTAATTTATGTTTTTTTTTAAATTCCAGTTGTACCGGAATGCGGTATCAAACAGATAGAGAAGGACGGAGAACAACTGCTCGTCTGCACTGCTCACGCAAACCCCGCTGAGGTTAGTTTATAGCGATATAACAACTAAAGATTTATCTTATTAAATAATTACATGATAAGTATTGAAAGTTTTGGAAAAACAAGCAATTTTCAAACACAACAGATAATTAACTAAAGTAGAAGAGAAACATGCTGTTTAAAGTGTTCTAACTATTGAAAACGAGTTATACTGGGTTATATATTGACTTTTGCTTCAAATGGAGTAAAATCAATGTAGTTCGGAAATATTGAATTCAATGTACCAAAAACTAATGAATCGTTAAATCAAATACTCTTTGTTGTTTGATGACGTCACAACACTCTGGCCGCGTTTTCGCACGAGATTTGTGATGTTATTTGTTTGGTGCCAATAGTCGTTTTTTCTGGTGGTCACAGTAAGAACGTTTAAAAAAAAGGAAACGATTATTCCCAATCATCAGCCCGCTCTGTCCCCACGTGGTAACAGATGAGAATAAAATTTTCATCCGTCCCACCATTTGTTACGACACAACGATTGAAACTTATTTCATTTAATAACAGACCAGATGGAAATCTGTCACCTTATTGGTGATAGAGATTAAAAGGTGGGACTGATGAAAGTTTTTATTCTCACGTGGGGACAGAGCGGGGTGACAGCGGGGTGAAGCGGGATGACGGTTGCGAGGGTGTTGCGCAGGTGTCGTTCAGCTGGCGGCTGAAGGAGGAGAACGACAGCCTGGCGGAGGAGCCGGCGCGAGGCGAGGAGGCGAGCTGGCAGCGCGGGCTGCAGAGCTTCCTGCGGCTGCGCGCCGTGCCGCGCTACCGCACCTACCAGTGCCGCGCCAACAACTCCGTCGGCGTCTCCGAGCCCTGCGAGCGCGGCGTGCCGGGTGAGGCCACTTGTCTACACTGCCTTACACTGCCTTACACTGCTCGCTGCCTCTACCGATGACAGTTTAGATGTTTCACTGCTGATAATGCCAGAACCCCGCCTTAAATAATCATCATCCTCCTTATCCTACTCCCGTAGGTCGTAATAGGTTTTTGTCCTCCACATAACGTATCTCAGTCACTCCCTTTTTGATCACGACACCTTTCACGCAATACAACCATCTCTTTTAGGTCTACCTCTGTACCTCCACATTCATAACTAACATCCTTCTTGTTACATTCCATTCATCCCTTCTCATAACATGCCCATACCACTCTAACCTTTTATTCCTTACTTTCTCTATCACATGGGCTACTCTCAAACTTCCTCTAATATACTCATTTCGTATCTTATCCAATCGTGTTATCCCACACATCCATCTTAACATTCTCATTTCTGTCACATGTCTCCTTTCATCCGTCCTTTTTACTGCCCAACATTCAGTTTCATACATCATGAGAGCCTTGTAAATTCCTCTTTACTTTAAAGAATTTGAAGGTCGCATATTAAATTGAAAGGCAATCAATATCTACTTTACTAACGCACTGGATTGTCTTGTTGTTTAATTAGGAACGTAGATTTACAGAATAGTATAAGACGAAATAGGTGGCTTTACTGAATCAATGTTTTCTACCTTACAGCCAACCTGGAAAGTTACAGTAAGTTAATACAAAGACATAAGACATTTAGATCATAACATACTTCATACTAATATTATAAATGCAAAAGTTTAGATGGATGGATGTTTGTTACCGTTTGCAACCAAACGGCTGAACAAATCTTCATGAAATTTGGCACAAGTTTAAAGCATAGTCTGGAAGAACACATAGGCTACTTTTTATCCCGGGAATAGTTAAAGTTCCCTTGGGATTCATTAATTTAGTTTTTTTAATGTTTACTCGATCATTCTGCAATGGTTCAACATATCTTATTGGAATTTGGCACAGATATAAAACAAAGTCTGGAGTTCACATGGGATAAGGTTCCTCAGAGAAATGTCTGGTTCCGGTGGGATACATAGCTTTTTGTTATTTATATAGTTCGTATGTTTTCTAATACCACGAGGACGAAGTCGCGGGTAACAGCTAGTTACAAATAAAAATTAAATATCAGAAGATTTAAAACATTAATTACATTGTTAAAATAACGACAAATTGTAAAATGTGTAAATTAGAAAATAGTGGGTCGCTTACTCTATGAAGTTTTTGTACTGTAACAAACAGTTTTATTGTATTTTTCAAATTTATTTTTATCCAAAAAATCAAAAAAGTATATAATACTTTTTACAAATGTTATAACTAGCTTTCGCCCGCGACTCTATCTGCGTGGAAGAAAATAAGCAAAAGTTAGTAGTCTATGTTTTCTTACAGACATCTTTGCTAAATTTCATCGAGATCCGTTAAGCTGTTTGGGATACAAATTCTAACATCCATCCATCTATATACACATCTCTCCTAATGATGCAAATGTTATGTTTGTAAGAGTTTATATCCTAAACTACAGCAGGAATTAAATGAAATTTGACATAAATATAGAACATAGTCAGGAACCACACATAGACTACTTACTTTTTTTTGTCAACTCCGTCGGAATCGCGGGTAAAAGCTAGTATTTCGAGCAATAATTTTGAGCAAAAATATTGAAGAACACTGTTTATGATTAAAAAGAAGATATTTTTAAAATAGGAAAATAATGTGACATCATCTTGTTTTTAAAATGGTTCTCACATATAAAATTAATAATTTCTGCTTACTCGTTTACTTATTTGAACAAGCACTATAATAATTCCAGGCAGCAAAGTATGGTGGAGAGATCAGTACAAGCTGCTGCTGTTCGGAGGAATCGCCCTCGCGGTGCTCGTCGTCACCGTCATCCTCTGCATCATCATCATCTGCATCTGCAGGAGGATGAGGACCAAATCTAAATGTAAGTGTTTCACTCTTGTTGTCCAATTCTGCTTTCTTGTCACCTTTGTTTTTTGTTAATTTTAAACAGACTTTAAGAAATATATAGACTGGACGTAGAACATTTAACTGGTAACTTCTTAGGAATCTTAGGTTTACCTCATGTTTGTTTTAAAACATTAGTATAAATAACTATTGTATAAAATATATATAAATATTTAAATTTGCTTTCATGATATTTATTGGCAAATAATTTAAATACAAATATAATAAAACGTAAACATACCCTACTTCGTGACGTCAGATGTCAGCAATCACAGCACATTTTTGAATAACTCTTTCTTTTATAAAAAGCCCTACACTTACGACACGCTTTAGATGATATATTTTCACGCTATTAAACTTAGGGGATAAATAAATTGGAAAAACATTCATAAAAGAAAGGGACCATAAACAGCCAACATCAAGGTTGCCATTTGTCATCATGTCATGACATTTGCTATTGATAATTTGACAAAAGTAAACAATAAAAAATTGTCATAATTTCATGCGGATGAAGCCACACGGGAACAGCTAGTATATATATATACATATGTATACAAAAAAAACGTATTATACGTACTATGCTCCCTCTATATATTTCTTGAATGTCTTTGTTGTCATCTTCATTAGCATCTAGATAAATGTGAGTTACTTAGTGTCACTAACTTTGCTTATTTTGTCTGTTCCTTTCCGGATGCCGCCTAACAAATAACGTCACACTAATATACGGCTGTAGATAATAATCCCGTGGAATTAGAGGAACGAGAGAAGTAAGTATCGTTTTATATATCGTTACTTGAGAATGTTTAGATAACTTAGAATTTATATTAGATTTCATATTTCACGTTTATAAGAATTTTATCCCCTTTTAGCACATCTTTTAATTTCGTTGAAATCTATTTTATGTTCTTTCATAAATTATTTCCAATAAAATTATTAACTATTCCTAAAAGTCCATTCTGTATATATTTTTATTCATTATAGTTAAAGTATTATATCGTATATTTTATTTTATTGTTTATTTATCTATATATGTAATATATATGTTGGTCTGTTTTGATCATTATTTATATTATTTTATTGTTTACTAGCTTACACCTGCGACTCCGTCCGCGCTTAAAAAATAAACAAATACAAGTGTTCTTCCAGACTATGCTTTACATTTATGTCAAATTTCATCGAGATCCATTCAGTCGTTTTGACATAAATGTAGAGTATAGTCTGGAAGAACACTTGTATTTGTTTATTTTTTAATCCCGCGCAGACGGAGTCGCGAGCGAAAGCTAGTATCGTATATTTGATATATATGTATATATTGTGTGTGTGCGCGCCGCAGCGCCGCCCTTGGTCCGAGCAGAGTCTTGGCACACGCTCTCGATGCCGCCGCTGCTGGCGCAGGCCCCCCACACGCACAGGTTCTAACGGTTCTCGGATTGTTTCACTTTTATGCGTGGAATTCGCTATTTGCTTGGACCATCGGCTGCGACAAACTAATCCGTCATCGAACATTATCATGTTCAAAATTCCCACCTTTTACGAAACAAATTCAGTTTTCGAAGTATGTAAGTGTTACAGCATTACAAATAAACGAGGGAAAGTAAAACTTAGGAATAAACAGAGTAACTTTATACCGCGTTTATTTGTAAGGCTCTTTACGCATTCCTTTGAAACTATCGCACAATTATAAAATACGGGTTTCTCATCACCGTACCATTTTTTAGCTCATTAGGTAAAAAACCCAGTATCTTATGAACATTATAGTTGTAAAGCAAGTTTAAATTTACAATCGCACAAATGTACGATTGTAAATTGTTTCGGATTCAACTGTTTAGTTGCCCAACTAAAAAGCGAGACAAAACAGTTATGCGATAGTTTAGTCAGTGTGCGCTCTTATAAAGTTAGTCAAATCCGACTGTGTTATATTTTTTCTTTATATTATCAATATCGGAGTAAATGCCTGTTCCATCATTAGCTGATAGATAGCTTAAAAATGTCACTGTCAGATGAGTTAACAAAATCTGATATTTCCATAACATTTACACGTTGGATTGTTATCAGACAATTAACAATTTAGTGGGACAGGCCCTAAGAGTTGTTGAAATCCGAATTAAGCAAGCTGAATTTGATTTGTAATCATCATCCTTGCCCTTATCCCTTACGGAGGGTCGGCACAGTATGTGCTGCTCCATACATCTCTATCAGCCGTCATATCTGAATCCACTCCTTTCTTAAGCATATATTTCACACAATCCATCCATACTTTCTTCGGTCTTCCTCTGAAAACCTCGAATTCTCTGAATTTGATTTGTTAAAAGTTAAAAACCAGCATGAACCAGTTCATCTCATATTTTCATTATCTTCTTTAATAATTACGTTTATTATAATTGTCTATTACTGTGTAGGTTCCTTACCGCTCTAACACCAGACGTTCTCAGACTGACTACAATTAATAGTTCAGGTACTAACAAACGTTTGTATTTACATTTAGATGGGGAATGCTTTTTTACTGCTGTTTGCTGAAGTTGATTGAATTTTCTGTGTGATTCCAGTAGTCGACTCGCTTGCACATCAACTGCATGCAAGAAGATTGTTAGGAAAGCATTCTTCTTGATTTATTATTTTATATATATATTTCATTATTTCATTAATATTATTTATATTTTCTTTCATTTCGAACGTCTGTTTATATTTATCATTAATAATATATTTTATACAAATATGTATTTTATAACCCTTTTTATATTTTAATCGGTTATATTTTTTAGTACTGAAATATCATTTAACAAGTCATTGCATGATCCTAATAATTTTGTTTGTTTTCATGTTAATATTGATGTAGTCCGGACGGTAGCTGTCTAAACGAAGTATCCATAGCGCAGTCGATCATATCGCAAGCTTTGCCCGCTTTGTCTCCGCGCATCAGTTTGTCATTTAGCCATAAATCCTCAGACAGAACCAGACTAGTCGATTCACAAAGATATCCAAACAATTTAGAAATGAACAGATTCAATGATAAACCAAACACTAGTTTACAAGCGAGTCTCTCGCAATTACAAGCAACTATCGATTCCAATAAGATTAAAACCGATGAGAACAAAACAGAAACTCCCAAACCAGAAACCAATGAAAATAAACCACAAACTGTAACGACACCAAATAAATGGCCTCTAAAACCAGGAGTACTAGTTCATGTTAATTCCAACCACACGTTAAGTCCAAAGAATCAAGCTCGTCTTCAAAATACAAACAAACCAGTAGACAAAGAAGATAATAATCTAGGATTACTAGAAAGAAATCAAGAAAGAACTGATACTAACAAAACACCTAAAGCTGAATATAGTAAAAAGAACGGAAAACCTAAAAGACATTCTAAAAACGTGGTATCAGGAATTATAAGAAATTTAACAGGAAAAAACGACAATTCAAACGAAGATAGTGGTAAATACAAGAAAATCAATAAATCAAATAGAAGAGCTGTTTCTTTAATTAATTTAGGGAAAACTGGATATGGTCTGCCCAAAGGAAGGATAAGATCTTTCTTTCAAAGCGAAACTCCGAATGTCATAGTTACTGAAGGAGGTAGTTCTCATTTTATAAGTTACCCACATTCTCTTCATGCTATCAGACTTGTATGATAATACTTTGATCCAATTCAACCATAAATTACCTTTTTTTTATAACATAAGGTAGCAAACGAACAAGCGACTTGAATCCGCCAAAATGGAGAAACGATCGCTGCCCATAAACATCTGCAATAGCAGCGATGCCTACCCTTATCTGACGGTGGAGATGCACATAAAGAGGATATTTCCCCTTCCTATGCATCTCATCCATCGTCAAATCCACTTCCCATTCCCATCCTCTCCTTATAAGAAAAGGGTGGTAAAGGGAAAGGGAGTTAAATTAGGCCTCCGGCACCGCACTCATCTGACTGTACACGGAATTGCTTCCACTTCACGTCTGTCTTGTGCGGTCGTGGTATTACTGGGGGCGTGCCGGCCTATTCGTTTTTGTTTGGTTATTTACATAAATAAATGATTGAAAAATCAAATGATTATCATACATCACTTTAAGCTAGTTCTAATGCATGGTTTCTCTTGTCTTTGCGATATTTTAGTGGCACGTTTAATTATGATTTGCATTTACCTGAGTGTTGCATGTTTTAGTCGTGTCATTTAAAAGGCCTGATAGAACAACAAACAGAGTTGAGACTGTCGCCGATATCAATTCAAGGAATAGAAAGAGAAAAAAACCAGGAGATAGTAAGTATAGAGTTAAAAAAAACTTAAACGCTGTAAATGCTTCAGAAATTGTTAAAGACTTAAATGTATTACTTTATAGAGCAAGTAAGGAATTAAAAAACGTAGGAATCTTTGTTGATATGCGAATAATATATTCTTCTTTGAGATAAAATGAGATAACTAATTATACTAAATTAAAAAAAGATGTATATAATTTTTTTTTATAACATAAGGTGGCAAACGAGCAAGCGGCCACCTGAATCCGCCAAAATGGCGAAGCGACTGCCCATAGACATCCGCAACTGCAGATGCGTTGCATACCCTTATCCGACGGAGGAGACGCACATAAAAAAGATATTTACCCTTATTATGCATCTCCTCCAGCGTCAAATCCTCTTTCCCTTCCTCTAGAAAAGGGTGGTAAAGAGGAAGAGAGTTAAATTACGACATAAGATGGTCTTAAAGAAGTAATATCTTAAAATAGCAGTTATAAGGTTATTTGATTGGCGAAGTTAAATGTTGTATTTTTGTATTCGCCAGGCCCAGCTACGAATGGCGCAGATAATGCGGCGAACGGCCTCGCAGCGGACAACCCCGGCCTCTACGAGAACCTGCCGTTCCACGGCCTCCAGCAGCCCCCCAACAAGGTACCTCCACTACCTACTGATTGCTTTCAGAGTGTTGCTTTTATTTAACAATTCTCAAAAATGTTAATACAAATATGTATCTGATTTAAATTTTTAGAGTCCAAATTTTTTGTATCTTTCCCTTACCATCCTTTTCTTAAGAATGGAAAGGAAAAATGGATTTAATGGTGAAGGGGACGCACAAAAAGGGATTTTTTAATTATTTACAAACAAACAATACAAAATACGAAATTAAGTAAAATCGTCTATAAACCCAATTAAGGGGATTTACTATTTATGTGCGTCTTCTCTGTCATTTAAAGGATTACAATGTATTTGCAATTGTGGATGTCTGAGCATAAGTTGCTTCGCCATTTCGGCGAACTCTTGCTCATTTGCCACCTTATAATATATAAAAAAATTGTTAATACCTATTTATTTTATAACATTTATCTTTTGGTTGCATTTTAATTTTTGTTTTGTTTTTTTTTTTTATTTCATGTTTTAATCGCATGCGATATAAAGCCTGTGCAAGCGATACAACCCAGAGTTGTCGAAACTAACAATAAACATGCAAAAGGAATCGAACATTTACAAAAGCAATTGACGACAAACCCGTCGTTCACTCCCAGAGTCGTTTGTCCGCCGTTTATGCAAAATTATACCTTAACTCCTCCACAAAATGCTCAATATCAGACTTACGGGATTCCAGTACTATCACCAATACAACAGATGTATCCCATACACCAAACTGTACTATTAAACCCATATCTACCACAAATGCAACCAACTTTCTTAAAACAATTCCCAACAATAGATGAAGAGGTAACCGAACCTGACACGAGAAAGTTCAGTTCATTAAATACAAGGAATAATAAAAAATTACCTCATTTCCAATCAATGAGAATAGTTAGAAAAAGGAATATAGAAAGATTCTATCCAAATACTGTTTACGGAGAAAATTTCCATGAAATTAATAACAACAAGAATAGAGAAGAATCAGATAACGATAAAGATGGAAGAAATGAAGATGCGATTTATGCCAACTATCCATCTTTACTTAAAATTAAATCTAACATAAGTGGTGTAGAACAGTTTGAGAATTTAACTGATTCCATCCAAGTTTGCGAAGAGACGAATTATCAAATCAATAGTTCAACTAATTCATTAAACGCGCCTATTCCAGCTCCACGAAAAAAACTATCTCCGTTCACTTCACCATTAAAATCTGATCATGTATACGTTAATTTGTCAATGCCACTTATTACAAGATTTAGCTCTATCGATGTTATCGACGGACCAGTTAGATCAACTAAATCAGTTGAAGACGTATCTAAGATTGATAAATACCCAATTAGTAACACTAAAAGTAATTTAACCATAACTAAAATGGATAACGAAACAGGAGATATAGAATCTGAAAGTAAAGATGGAGACAGTAATACAAATGTCAAAGATATTCAGAAACCAAATATCGTTGCAGCGACTCCTAAGAGAAGTACAGTAAATACTTCGATCACTTTACCATCAACTTCTTTGGTAAAATCAGTTGTCAGTCAACTAAACGATCAGGGTTTAAATAAAGTTGGATTACCAAAAAAGCAAGTGATAGTACCAAATAAAACATTACAAATACCCAAACTAACTGAAAAACCAATACCAAAAAAAACTTTAGTTAAACGTAGTAATTCCGTCCAAAGTGACTTTAATAGTGATATCGCCCAGGTATAACCGCTTCGTATGTTTTCATTTCTTTATTTTTTTTAATTAATTGTCCATGTTCTAACACTGCTCGAATTAACGCTTTTACCCGTTTCAGAATACTAACATACTCCAACAACAATATATGCAAAAACGAAATCATTTCACTAATCTAAGTTCAAAAGGAAAGAATAAGAAAAACTTCCAAATACCTATACAAAAGCATCATAGTTTCTGTTATTTTCAACCTATAAAAGTCGATAAACGAATACCAGTGGATCAAGAACGGTCTTATAATAACACAATAGGACCTGTCATTTACCAAACAGGCGACGTACAATATTACACAAAAACACTAAACAGAACTAAAGAGAAGAATAGTCAAAAATTGAATCGCTTAAAGAAATCAGAAAGCTTAAGAGAGAAATTATCCTGCGTCGGTATCTACGACAACTACGAGAAACCGAATTACCCTGAACCGGAATACAATGAATCTGAAAGAAAATCCTACTTACAATTATTAAAAGGGAACTACATATCCAGTTCATCGAGGAATATAAACCCCGAACACATCTGTAGCTCCAATTTTAACACTATGGGTCCCAAAGACGAGAGATCTAAACATAAAAAATTAGTTTACGCCGATCTAGCGCTAGGTAATCATAATTTAAAATTTAAAAATACAGTCAATTCAAATAAACATTTATACGATACGTACTCTATAGGGAATACTGACAAAGATAGCAATACTCATAAGAACAACGTAGTCAGCAGTCAGAGGAAGAACAACCAACAGAGAAGCGACTACGCCACGCTTAAGTTTCATGAAATCGACGTCTGAGAGGTAAGTTTTTTTAATAAAACCATAATCAGGAAGAAATTTCATTAAACAATCATTCGATATTAAACGAAAATTAAACAAAATTATCTGCAAATTATTTTTAGCGCTACTTTAAGACATTACAAGTTATTTATTTTTCCCTAAAAGACAAATAAATTTAATTTAGATCGAGTTTTAAGACATAATTAGTGATAAACTAGCTGTTCCCGTGCGACTTTATCCGCATAGAATTATGTCAAATGATCAATAGCCAAAATGACATGACATGACAAATCTTGGCAATCTTGCTTCCTTGATGTTGGCAGCAACTTATGGTCTCTTTCCCACATTAGGGTTTTTATCCAAAATATTTACCCCCTAAGTTTAATGGAGTGAAAACATGTAGCCTAAAGCGTGTTGTAAATGTAGGGCTTTTTATTAAAAAGAAATAATTATTCAAAAAAATGCTGTAATTGCTGACATCTTAGGCAACAAAGAAATATGTGTTTACGCTTTATTATAATAGTACAGATAGATAGGTGTAAATTCCAATAATTTTATCCAATCTTAAATCGATGCTAAATTAACTTCCATGCTTTACCTAAAGCATGATATCCAACACCAATCTCTAGAATAACTGCACACTCAGAGAGGTATAATGAAACTGACCCTTAGTGATGATTAGTGGTCATGTCTCTGAGTCGCAGTTACTGCTTTAAATAAGCATGTCTGCAATGTTGTGAAAGTTTTGTCTTTCTGTGTTCTAGGGCCGCTTTGCCAAGAGTGACACGTACATTTATTAAAACTAAGGTAATTGGTATCTTCAATATTGGCTTTAGCGAATTACAATTAACTGCTTTTAATTTAACACTTATTAAAATTACCACACATTCGTATTTTAGGATTAATATTTTTGATGCAAGAATTAAAAATATAATTGTTCAGAATTAACAGGAAATATGCGTTAAATGTATATAATTAAAGTATAAAATTTTATTTTTTACAGATTATATTTGCTTAAATATATCTAAATATATAAAACTATATTTGTATAGCATATATTTATTATTTAATTGACACTACATTTATAATAAAATTTTATTTTATTACACATAATAATTAGGTAACCTTAATAATTAGATAATTGCACAGAATACACTTTTTTGGTGGAGAAATTGAGGAGCAAAAGGTTAGCGTGGTATGGACATGTTATGCGACGAAATGATGGGGACATAAACCTGAAAGTGTTGAGATTGAATGTGGATGGCTACAAAGGAAGAGGAAGGCCGAAGAAAGTATGGATTGTGTGAAAGAAGATATGCTTAAGAAAGGAGTGGATTCAGATATGACGGCTGATAGAGATGTATGGAAGAGCAGCACATACTGTGCCGACCCTCCGTAAGGGATAAGGGCAAGTGGATGATGACACTTTCTCTTCGAATGTATCCATAGAATGTTAAACAAACCAACAAAGGAAATCCAAAAATCACTTTAAACATATCACACTATACAAAAACAATCTACAGCTGTCATAAATAAGTTAATTTTTTATTATATTTTTCCCAGCCATTCAGACCAGAAGACCAGTTCGTGTACGCAGACGTGGACCTCAAGGACTACGGGCCCATCAACTACAAGGCAGCCTCCATCTACGCTCAGATGAAGAAAGTCAAACAACAACAGAAGATGCAAGAAGTTTACGACAAACAAGACGATGATATGCTTTGATTACTATTATTGAAAGGTAACTTGGATAACAATATTACCATCTCACACTTATACAAATAAAGACTAGAAATACAATTGTAATACTGCAAAAGATACATTTTATGCTCTATATGTATATTCTGTTTTAACTATCAAAATTGAATAATAATACATTATATAAGTGTATACAGCCTTTCAGTGTCAAAAAAAAAACAATTTAATATTCCGATATTTTTTATATACATTTGATAACTGTATCAATATAGTGTGTCTAAATAAGATAGATTAGTTTGATAAATGACGCATATGAAGTATCGAATTTAACTTGTAAGGCAAATGCCATACTTAATAGACAGGTGTCGTAGTGACGAAACACGCAGCTAACAATTATGGACTATCGATATTCGGTTTAAATAATTATCGAACTCAACTAAAATTATTATTTTCTTATTAACTAATTTATAGGACAATTCTAGTGTTGATTAGAGTGTAGAGAATTTAACGATGACGGAAATAATAGCGAAATCCAATTCGATTACGTACGGCTGTAGTAGTAAATATTTACTTACTCTCATTGTTTGTTATGGTCATTATTAATTTGAGAAAAAAGTGTTTTTATTTTTTAATTCATAAGTTAAAAATATAAATCTATCGATTTCAACTTCTATAAAAATAAAAATCGAAAATCGATAAGATCCATGACTGATTTTACACAACCCATCCCTACTAAATTTGAAATGAATTGTCAAACTAATCTAAATTATTTAGACACACTATAGATTTGGAAATATTAAATTATAATTTTCATTTATTGTCGAATAATGTTTTAAGTCGTGATCAAAGCATATTAACTTGTATCGTATTTCCTATAGAGATGGTAACGATTTCAAATAAAACCTTTATTCATATCTAGCACCTGCCTGAATGTCTATCGACTCTAAACACAAACAACCCCAAAAAATAGTTTTAATGTACAGAATACTGTAACCACAATTGTAAATAAAACGTAGTTTTCTTATATAAAAATGTTAATTAGAATCACACATTAAGGAAAGGTATGGGTTTTATGATCTTTAAAAAGATCAACATAAAATACATTACAATCAATAATACACAAAAAGTTTCAATAATACAATGAAAGGCTTTGTATTATTGAAAAAAAAATACTTGGAACATAATTTTATCCCTATTACCGTATTTTTAGACGAAATACAGTAAAAGGTAAAAATACAATTGAAGGTAACTGTATACAGTAACCTTTTATTGTATACAATGACTCCAGTTGTATACTTTAGCCTTTCATTGTATACTGTCTTTTACTTGATCTTTTTAAACTTCCATACAAATGTGGATATTATTGTATGGACATAATTTCCATACCTTTATTGGAGCTAATCAAGGGATCTAAGTCGGAAGTTTCTGTCAGATCACGGTAATGCCGTGAACAGGGTATTTGGCTTGACTTTGTCAATGTGGCGGAAAATGGACAATTTTATGTTTCAAAAAGTACACAAGTGTACATATTTTATTTAAACTTCATTAAAATAAACAATCTTATGTCCATTTCACACTTCATATATAGTTTTTTTTAAATTTTTAATAGTTAATCTTTTTGAAACATAATTCTGTTAAATATTACAGCAAGCTTTTAAAAAGATATCGAACGCTGAGATCTTTGTCCGTCCAAGCGGGAAAGTCATATTGGAGAATTATCAAACAACCGATCGAAAATGTATCTTTTTGCATAACAATAAAGATCAAATTCGATCGGCGGACCTCAATCACAACCTTGTAATTAGTAATATCAAAGACTATCCAAAGAGATAGATTTAATGCGTAAGTTAAGTATGCGATTGGCGTTAACTCGTGTTCAATTTACGCCGAGGTGCAAATTTGCTAAGTTGGCGCAAAATATTTGGCCAACTTGGTGCAAACTTTATTAGCGCAAATGTCGGTCAGTGTTGGTGCAAAGTTTGCTTTGTTGGCGCGAATTTGGAGGAATGTAATTACTTCTTAGTCACGGCCCGTAGGGTAATATTGGCATTTATTTTACTTTTTTTGTTTTTTTTTACGATTGCAACGAAAAACGAATTTCTGTATATGTATTTAACTTTTCAATTTAAAATCCACCGTGTTTTTAACGCTTTTTGTAACTATTTTGTATTATGATAATTTTCCAGTTAATGTGGCACTACCATAACAACGACATTTACTTTGCGAATACTTTTTTTTTACGTTAATTTTATAAGTGTAGTGCCACACTAGTTAATGTTACTAAATTTGTTTTGTGCGACTAAACGGACGTTTTAAATATAATGCACTAATGTATAAATAACGCGGGGGAAATATTAAAATATAACTTGATAATGTGAATGTTGATTGCATTTACTTCGTTTCTAGATATTTGTCATTTTGTATTTTAATATTTAAAAAATAATGCACATTAGTAAGGTGCTCAAATCACTGTAAAAATCATAAAATTTAAATAATCATTGGTCTATTGTATATTTTAATAATTTTTAGTAAGTAAATTCACAGTAAAATGCATAATAATTTTACAATAAATAACATTAAGAATTTTTTAATTGAATACATAAATTTTAAATCCATCCATTTTAACTACAAAATAACGGATTTTTCTCCAAAAAAGATAGATTTTTTTTGTACAAATAAACATTAATTTGCACTCAAAAACATGTACAAAATAAAGATTTGAAACTCCGTTAAAAATATGTAAAATATTAGATAATGTACATAAGACCAATGATTATCAAAGTTACATTAGACAAAGTTAAAGTTAGTAAAAGTTTTGTACATAAAGCAACTTGTTATGATATTGTCTGATAGAAAATAATAAATAATTTATGGATTTTTATCTATGGTTTTATTTAAACACCACTCAGAAGAAAGGAATAAATAAAGAAACCTTGAGAATTATAGAAAATTGGACATAGATAAAAAGTAAGGAATTTATATCTATACTATTATAATAAAGCGTAAACACACACTTCATTGTTATCTAAGATGTCAGCAATTACAGCATATTTTTGAAAAATTTATCTTTTAAAAAAATCCCTACACTTACGTCATGCTTTAGGCTACATATTTTAGCGCCATTAAACTTAGGGGATAAACATTTTGGATAAAATCCCTAATGTGGGAAAGAGACCATAAGCCGCCAACATCAAGGAGACAAGATTGCCAAGGTTTGCCATGTCATGTCATTTTGACATTTGCTATTGATAATTTGACAAATGTAAACAAATAAAATTTTCATAATTTCATGCGGATGAAGCCGCACGGGAACAGCTAGTAATTAATAAATGTGGACTAAAGTGAAATTAAAATGAAACTAAAACGAGATATATATGCGAAAGTTTGGATGGATGGATGTTTGTTAGAGTTTGTAGCCTAAACTGCTGAACGGATCTCGATATACATAGATGATGTAGTCTGGAAGTACACACAGGATACTCACTTTTGTTTGTTTTTTAATTCCTCAAGGATAACGTCGCGGGCAACAGTTAGTGTTAAATGAAACAAAACAATTACTAATAATTTCATTTATTTAATATAAAAAAAAACATTTCTATAAACGCATCGAATTCTAATTAAAAAAAATATCACAGCCATTACTTTGATGGGAACCACTCTCAACCCACAAAACATACAAAAACACTATTTACATAAAGTACAGTTAATTTTCTATTACATAGACATCAGCAACAAGTCTTAAATATTATGTAACAATTATTTATCGTGTTACAAACGTATTTAAATAATTTTAAAAAGTGTAAACTTTCATACATCCTACTTGAATGTTTAATTTTTTACACCTTAACAAACATTATCAAAAGAAAAGATTTGTATTTTTACCAAAAAAACTCAAAAACTACTGGAACTGTTTCAATACGCCATTCATCATTTTAAAGTTGCAATATCATTAACAAGGGCTAAATTTATTCTGGTATTTTATAAGAACGAAGTTGCTACAAAACATATTTTTGAAGCTAGATTTTCTTATAACGATATTGATATCGAAATTAAGTAAATATTACATTTTATTTTACGTCTAATCAAGGCCGAACATAAACCAGTTTAATCCAATCTAGATATGTTATCCATTTATAGTAATAATAACAAATTGATAAAATCAGTTGGTACAACGCGGAAATTATTACATTACTAGTTAACATTGATTAGTTTTCCTAATCACAATATAATCAAAACAGTTTTCTTTTTGTATTTGATGTTAATATGTTTACTGCGGGGATTATTCCCAACCGTCACCCCACTCTATCCCCACGTAAGAATGTAAAATTTCGCTCCGTCCCACTTTTTGCGACTAGGGGACGGAACTTTATTTTCAACGGTTCCATCTGTCTTATTAGTGATAGTGGGATAAAGCGGGGTGACGGTTGGGAATAATCCTACTGCGGCAAGAAAAATCATAATTCTTCATTTAGTGCAGCGGCGGGCTAAAATGCGCCCCCAATGATATTTCCGCCAGTGGCAGGTCTTTCTAAACCTACCAAAACTAGGATAGATTAAATTGTGGAAAATTTGTGGAAACATTATGTATACATTTTATGTTATGTAATATATACACCTGAGATAAAAGTTTCGCACTAGCGAGAGGGATATAGTTTTCTTTATCCGCACCAGCTTAAGTACTGCGTCAGGCCGATATCGACCTGTTACGTAGTAACGTTTCAAAGATAACAAATAACTAGTTACGATTATAACTGAATTAACAATTGAGTTACATTAGCGAGGATTCCACCCTTACGACAATGAAAGCCTTTTTATCTTTACTTATATAACTAAAAGTATCAAAAAATATAAGTAAAAACAATCTAAGTTACGACTTATTCAACATAAAGTCAAAAATTCTTAATCTTAATACAATCTCGATATTAAGTAATTTTTTTTAACTACAAATTCATAAACGTCGAATAGCATCCTTTTAGCATAGAATGTAATAACCTTTTTACATCCAAACAGGTATTTTGTGGGTAAACTCCAGTTCTACTAAACTACAATCAAATTGTATAAAAATCGTACTGTCCCCTGCCGAAGTAAACGTAATCCGAGCACCATTTCCTTGCCTCAAGGTCTGTGGAACAGCAAGCAGGGTACGCGAGCCGGGACTTAGTCAGCTTGGCACATCTCTGGCACAGATCTAAGAGTTCATCCTGTAAAGTAGTAAAAGGTTTAGAACTCCTGACGTTCGCATGTCAATAGAACCATTACCTTTGGTTTTGTAAAAGGTTTACAACTTCTGTTTATTTTGATATTTTAATTGCTTAGAACGGACGCATGCCTTTGACTAAACTCTTGCATAACTTTTGTGCGACTGTCGATTGTTTTGTAGTCAGCTGTTTAGTTGCACAACTAAAAATCGAGTACTGCGCACCTCCATATAAGCTTATAGGAGACTAGACAGTTGTGCGATGGTTTAGTCAAAAGTGTGCGTTCGTTGTCTAAGACCATTATTTACAGATTTTACGTTATCGCAGATGTAATTAAGATATTTTGCACCTACTAGAATTTAAGAACTTAGAAAACTACCAATAATACTTTTAAGGAATAATAAAAATTATTAACTCGAAGTACTTTAGACAAATAATAGCTTAAATTTTAAGAAAACCAGAAACATAATTTGCCGAAATAAGAATAAGCATATAGAAAACGCATGGAACGAAGTAGTAAAGGCCTGGTGCAAACGTTCATTTTAACGAAATAGTCAGTCAGATGAACGGTAAAAGATTTACCTTCTCATACATATTTTTAACTAAGGGTCTGTAGAATTAAAACTCGAATGGTATCTGTTCTGTTCTTTACAGCATCTCGTGCGACATTTAAGGCAAATATTTCTACCTTCATCCGTCTTGACTACTTCTTTACTTACATCTGTATGACATTCAGCTGACTCAGTAAACACTCCACTGGCAGGAGAAAGCCAGGGAGGACGAGCGCCCGCACTGTGTATGCACACGCAGATAACATTCAGCAACAAGAAGATGCAGAAAGAAGAGCTTTTCTGTGGACAATAAAAAAATACTTAGGTTAATATTGAGAGCATCGGTGGCTCAGGGGTTATAGCACTTGTTCTACAGGTTTTGGATTCGAATCCCACTGTAAGAATGTGATTTTGGATTTTCGAATTTCATAAACACAATTTATCCGATGTTCTAACGGTGAAGGTAAACATCGTGATGCAACCTGCGCATTTCGGCGAAGAAATTCAAAGATGTGTGTTGTCATCCTAACTTAATGTAGGCTCCGATCAGCTGGGGATAATTATGAAAGGCATATTGGTAAAAAATATCACGTGGTAGAGAAATTAAGGAGTAAAAGTTTAGAATGGTATGGGCATGAGGAGGGATGAATCACATCTAACAAGGACGTTAGTTATGAGTGTGGGACACTTGTAGAGGTAGACCTAGAAAGTGATGGATTGCGTAAAAGGTGACATGATGAAGAAGGGAGTGATGACAAAGATGACGGATGACCTGGGGGATGAAAACCTTGTCCCTATGGGAGTAGGAGTGCAAGAGTAAGATGTTTAAAGTAAAAATAATTGAGGTAAAACTCTTGCTAATTAGTAATTACTCATATTATAAATACGAAAGTTTGAATGGATGAATTGATTGGTAGAGTTTGTAGCCTAAACTGCTGAACATATTCTGGAAGAACACATAGGCTACTTTTTAAGTTTTTCGTGACGTGCTACTTTCTAACTTTTTCGTAGAGGTAGACAAGTAAGGTAAGTACTAAGATTAGAGCGAAAACGTTACATAAGCGTTGTTTACTATTAATTTTGGGCTATCGTCTTTGAACCGGTGTAAAATCACCGGAATCCGAGTACTATAGGCGATAAAGTACCGATCGGCCTTTATTGAACGATACAGAGGCTATCGGAAATGTTACGTTAATTATTACTACAATGGAATAGGTGACCAATTTAAAATTAAATGTAGGACAAATCCTACAAACGTTTTAAACTAAATATCGGACTAATTTCTATGATTCTATTGAAATTAATTTATAAAGTAAAATGTTTAAATAAAATTACAAATTTAAATCAGAAAATACCAATTAAAAAAAAGGTTAAAAAAGGTCTAAGCTTAAAAATAAAAGAATTAAACTAAGATTGTGGATGTTTTTATTGTAATCATTTCATTTGTGAAATAATGGGTAAATTTCCATTTCTATCTTTAATACTGTTCATTAACATTATTAAGAATTAAAAAGGCTTAAAAACTCAAAACTGCATTATAATCTGTTTATCTTATAAGTAACTGATTACTTATCATTACACTATCAACAAGTAAGTACCCATGTGGCATAAGGTTATTAAGTCTAAGTAAGCACTTGTTAACGACCTACCACAGTAAACCAAACTAAAAGTAGGACATGCCCCAATAACTTTACAACTTGGTCACCCCAGTATCGTATCAAAACAATTTAAATTAGATAAAACAATAGAGTAATAGATAATGATAAAAACATACTGTGCACAAAGTGGGACAATGTTGTTGTTCCCAGTGCGGGTTATTGTGAAAATTGTCATTAATTTGGGTCAATATTGACGTCTATTGTTTACTATTATTGCCTAATTAATACCATTGTACGGTTACGTAACTTGTTTGTGACAACATTAACAGGACAAGTCTATCGCAAGATGCACCCTTCGATATGATTGTAACGCATTTTTATTTGTAATATGAAATACAGTCTGTAATAAAGAACCTAATAAAAATTTACAGTGGGAGGCGCTTGACACATCTGTTCTACGAATTACCTGTCTCGACAAGTGAAATACAACGACCACACAGCAGGCTTTAAGTCATTTCGCGTACCGACGTTTCCACCATACTTACATTCTTACCATACTATTCATATAAGAAAAGCGTAGAGAAAGTGGATTTTCAGGGGAGGGGACGCATACTAATTGGCAATATCCGATTTATCTGCGTCCCTTCCTGTGTCGATTAGAGCACAGAACACTACACCATCTGAATTCGACCGCTGCCCATATATATCCGTGTTTATAGGCAGCGGTTCAATTCAGATGGTCGCTTGTTCGTCGCCACCTTATGATACAAAAGTCTAATGTTTTGAATACATTTATTAGCGTTATTTTTTACCTAATATCGCCAATGATAATAAACATACGTCAACTTTTTTTACCATGACTAGCGCTCGGTGCGGATTTTTGACAATTCATGGTCATTTAACATAAGTAATGTGGTTATAAATAAGTTAAACTTAACTATGACGTTCATAATATCGCACTTGACGTCTATTCTACATATGGTTGTGGTATTGCACCAGTTAGGACCATTGCCTCAGCTTGCTGCAAACTGATTGAGCTAGCCATCTACCCTTCGACTGCATCTTCACTTAGCTTAGGTGGAAATGTGGAAAGCGCTGGTTTATTTACGTTAAATAAATAACTTCATCATTGTTTTACATTTTCTGCTTTAAATATTGACCCGTATTCCAACTCACTGCTGCCTAAGAGCGCACGCATACTTTTGACTAAACTATTGCATAAGTGTTAGCGCTTTGATTCCTATAAGCTTATATGGAGGTGCGCACACTGCTCGATTTTTAGTTGTGCAACTAAACAGTTGAATGGACTGCGAAACAATCGACAATCATCAGTTGTGCGATAGTCTAATCAAAGGTGTGCGCTGTGATAGGTTATTTAAAGATTGGGCCTAGTTTAATTCGATGCAAGGAGAAAGGTAATTCTGTAAGTGGTATACCGTGAATGGTCTTAACTGTACATTTATCCGATATTCTTACGGTGAAGGAAAACATCGTTATGGATACCATAGTTAGTAAGTTTGAAACAAGAATTTACATCCCGACCGCACAGAATATAGGTGTTAAGTGGAAGTAATTCCTCGTTTCATCTGATGCGTGCCGGAAGCCTAGTTTTAGACTCTTTCTATTTCCACCCATTTCTTATAAGGATAGGATGGAAAGTCAAAGTGGCAATTGCGGATGTCTATAGCCAGAGGTGGCTTAGTCATTGCGACGGATTTTAGTGGCTTGCTCGTTTGCCGCATCTTACTAATACTACTCGTATAAATGCAAAAGTTAAGATGGATGTTTTTTTAGAGTTTGTAAACTAAACGGCTTAACGGGTCTCGATGATATTTGGCATAGATGTAGAAGATAGTCTGGAAAAATACATAGGCTACTTACTTTCTTTTTAATAATTCCACGCCGACAGAGCGGCGTCTGAAAACTAGTTATGATATAAAAAGAATGGACACGTGAGGTTGACGACTATGGGTAATTTTAGTCAATTCTGTACATTGTACTCTCCATTACGATAAATTATCTAATTTCGCTAATTAGAGTTCTTTACTCCGCGTTGATAAGTAAAATGATATAAACAAAACTATGTGAAGAAACAAAAGAAAATTTATAATGCTACTTAAGTGTTATAATTTATGGTAAACTAGCGTTCGCCCGCGACTCTGTACGCGTGGAATTAAAACAAAAAACAAAAGTGAATACGTGTTCTCCCAGACTATCCTCTACATCTATGCCATATTTCATAGATATCCATTCCGCAGTTTAGACAATAAACTCTATCAATCTCAAATTTAGAATTTATAATAATAGTTTTTATTCCGAGCAGATAGCGTCGCTCGCGACAGCTAGTGAAAATAAATAAATACTGGATTTTTTATTTACGATTTACTGGATAATTTCTATTATACGAGTAATATTAAATAACATAAATACCGTAATTCTATCCGTTAAATATAGTAATTACAGTTACAATTAAACTTAGTAATAATATTTATATTTTACTAACTTTCTCCCGTAATTCCATTCGAGTGGAATTAAAAAAAAAGTATCCTATGTGTTCTTCCATTCTTTCTAAATCTGTACCATATGACATCGAGATCCGTTCAGCAGTTTATACTACAAACTTACTAAAATCCATCTAAACCTTCCCATTCATAATATTAGTAAGATTTTATTCGTTAAAACTATAGAAAACAAAGTTATTTTACACTATTTGCTAATTTTAAACGCAACTTTTACAAAACACTTGCTTAGAAACAAGACGATTTAAATAAAAAAGTTTTTAAAAGCTTACTCACCGAAAACATAAGCATACAAGCCGCCATTGTATCACTTCCTTAAACACTTTCTTTATGATATATAGGTATGTATATATGTGTATATGGATCGTCTGTCCGTCGCAACGCTTCTGAACGCTCTGCTAGACGTAACTGGCAACACATTGGTAATAAAATAATTATCATCATATTTATTATAAACATTAGTCGCTCCGCGTGGCAGAGTAGTGATTTAGATAAAATTTAGGGTTCCATTATCTACTGAGGTCAAATTTACCGGTTAATGTGCTAACGAGGTGTTCAAGGTAGCATTTTCACTGACAGATATACCTGTATAGAAACATTTTATCTCTATCATATAAATAAGAATAATTATGTTTATATACAAGCTTTATAACAGTGGAAATCTACCGTAATGTTTATAAGCATTTGTATATTTTTACTAACTTATCTAGGATACCTATTTGACCTTATTGAATGTAAAATAAGTAATTGCGAAGTTAAACTCCAATGTCTAATTGAAGCAAAAAACAAAAGAAATTAACTAGTCGCAGACATTATACCTTTAGTTTAGTTTTAAATTAGGTAGTAAAAGGTTAGGATAACATGGTATGAGGGATGAATCGCATGTAACAATAACGTTAGTTATAAGTGGACACCGGTAGAGGTAGACATTGAAAGAGATGGATTGCGTGAAAGGTGACATGATCAAGGGAGTGATGACTGAGATGATGGATGATAGAGTTATTTGGAGGACGCCGAACCTAAGAGAGTAGGATAAGGTAAAGAAGATGATGTATAAAGAGACTTTTAGCATCTATGAGTTTATTTTGTGTCTTTTGTTGTCAAATCGTTAAATAATCGACAAATCGACTGACTCAAGGGCGTAGAAGACCGTAAGGTCTCACGTTATACTTGTCTTAGGAATTTGTTTGACAGAAATATGACATTTCTCAGATAGTTCCCTTGTCTTTTATAATATAAGCTAGGTCATGACTAACATATGATGATGATTTAGCCGCTAATAGATTTATGCAATACAATGTTAAAGGTTCAAACACAGCACTCGACGTCGATGTCATAGCTACAACCTGTTTGTCAAAATCTTTGTGAAAAATCGCTTTGATTTCGAAGAAGGTGTTGCAAATTAATATCCTTGAGTTGTGAAGTCTCGTTATCAAGGAGTCATTACAAAGATTTACATTTCCTTGTGTACGAAGAGCTTTGTAACATCGATTCGTTTGTTTCTGTTCATTTGTTTTTAATAGAGGTACTGTCAGGGTTTTGGTGATATTTTACTAATGATTTAAATCAATTTATAATAATAAAATATTATAATGAGTAGGAATTCGCATTAATTAGCAATAAACAGATATACGAGTGACCTTCGGCGTTATTTTTATATTAATTTGATAAAAGGAGTAACATCCTACTTGTTACTTAACACAGATAATAGATAAAATTATCATTAAGTTGCCGGCTGTTAAATAAAACAATCAAGGCCGAATGACTATCAAGTCTCAGATTATCCGATAAAATATAAAAAGAACTACAATTATTCCTTTTCACTTTAAACATTCAATTGTTTTTTAAAAAACTTTAAACAATTACGGTAGAAATTAGAATTTTGCATGTCTCAAGGTTTACATAAAGTCTGGTCATCTAATAATTTTTAACTGAATATTAATTTTCATTTAAACTGTCAGAAAAATTGCTAAGTATTCATAAACATTAGATATAGAAATGGATGAATATTGAAAACCAATGATTTCAAAGTTTACGAAGTGGAATGTCTGGCCAAGATTAATACTTGTTCGACCAATGAGCGTGTTTGTCGATAACAAGTATTGTCTTCTAATCTTAAGCCACACCCCTTAAAAGTATAGTCAAAGTTTTATTACTGGGGTATGTAGAGACAAAAAATAAATTGTCAAAGAGTTTATACACTTCTATAATTTGTTTGATGTGTTCAGTACCTATAAATTTGATCATATACATGTTTTTTTATACCTTTTTAATTGCGAAAATTTTTAGTAAATATAATTTTTTTACTTCAACCATGCGATTTTTTATTAATTTTTAAAAAAAATGTATCAAGAATATGTTCTATATTGTCATCAATAAAATTTTCTTTCAACTTTCGGTAGTTTTCAAATATAAATGTAGTTCACACAAACTCGTATTTATATTGTTTTCTTTGATAAAACAATAAGGCCGAGCCTTGTTGTGTCTGTGTTATGAGTCATAAACATTGTAACTTACACAAGTTAGCGACCTCTAGCGGTATATGTAGATAAACAGCAAACGCATCTGCAATTGTAGATATCAGCGGTTGCTATTTCAGCGAAGTCAGGTGACCAGTGCTATCTTATATCTATACTAATATAAGAAAACGTAAACACACACTAATTCGTGGCGTAGGATGTCAGCAATCACAGTATATTTTTGAATAATTCTTTCTTTATTAAAAAGCCCTACACTTACTAAACGCTTTAGGCTATAAATTTTCACACTATTAAAATAAAAAGTAAATAAATTGGAACACAACCTTCGTGTGGGAAATGGACTGTTAACTACAATCTGACATCAAGGAAGCAAGTTTGCATGCAATGTAATTACGAGTATTATCCAATGTCAAAGGCCTTCGTTGTCATTTTTGCATTTGAATTTGCCAAATGAAAACAATAAAAGTTTTTATAATTTGCGGAAGAAGTCGCAAAGGAACAGCTCGTAAATAATAAAAATAAGAACAAGATGGAACAAAGAATGACTTGTTTTCCGGTTATTGTACTCTTCTCTATTCAATTCTGCAATAATTTATTATAAACGCCTATGGGCGTTGCCAAGACTCGAGGTATAAACCCAGTGTAATCATTAGACCACGAGGACCATAATCTTATCATACAACCTTGCACGCGGCAAGTTCGAGAGAACGGAAAAAAACATACAAGATATAATCTTAAAACAAACAGAAATCGTCCAAATTAATACACGAATGACATGCATGAATAAATACAATATTTTAAAGAAAAACGTGACAAATGAAAGAATGAATTTCACTTAAATAGCGAATGATTGCTCATAAGCTTATGATATCTTAATCTGTACTTATATTATAAAGAGGAAAACTTTGTATTTTTGTATGTATTGAAATAACCCAAAAACTACTGAGCCGATTTTAAAAATTCTTTCACCGTTAAAAAACTACATTATCAATGACTAACATAGGCTATATTTTTTTAAATTTCAAGAGAACGAAGTTGCGAGCAACAGCTAGTAAGATTGCGAAAGTTTAGATTTATGTTTGTTAAAGTTTGTAGCCTAAACAGCTGAACAGATCTCGATGCAATTTGACATAGAAGTAGAGGATAGTCTGGAAGAACACATGGCTATTTGGTTTTGTTATTTTTCTAATTCCATGCGGACGGTGTCGCGGGCGAAAGCTAGTATTATAAAAATGAAAGTTTATATGGATGTTTGTAAAAGTTTCTCGCCTGAACAGCTGAAGTGATACCGATGAAACTTGGCATAGATTTAAAGCATAGTCTGAAGTACACATATGCTACTTTTATTCTTTTTAATTCCATGCGAACGGAGTCACGGGCGAAAACTGGTTTACTATTATTACTTGTATTTATGTAAACCTATTCGATTCGAACCCACAACCGCTATTACCCACAATCGGTAGTACAAGAAATTGGTAAACTATTGTCGCTTTAATGTTGATTATATCAGCAACGTTAACTCCCACTAAATACATAATCCTGTCATATAATTTAACTAAACCGCGATAAGATTATTATCATATTATGTAATATCAGTAGACTAGACTTATGATAAGAGTTACGTTAGCAACGAAATGAACACATTAGTAATGATTTACAACTTTTCTAGCGTTAGTACTCGCTAATAGAAAACTGACTAAATAAATAAATGTGAAAGTTTAGATGGATGTTTGTTAGTTTGTAGCATAAACGGCTGAACGGATGTGTATGAAATTTGACAGACGTAGAGGATAATCTGAAAGAACACATAGGCTACTCTTGTTTTTTCTACTCCTTCGTCAACGGAGTTGCGGGCAAAAGCTAGTTATATTATATATTTGACGTTCGTATTAATATGCGAAAGATAAGATGAATATTTTTTAGTTTGTATCCGAAACTGTAACCGACAAAGATGTAAACATAGTCTGGAAAATCCAGACTACTATTGAGATTTTTAAATTTCGGGTGGAGTCGCGGGCAAGAGCTAGTTACACTGTGAATTTAATTAATCTTCATAAACATCATGAGAATTCTATAATTACAACACTTTTGTAAAGTGTTACTTAAACTTAACTTAGTTAAGAAATCCCTAGCATTTACATTAATAAATTAAGGGTTTACTTAACCGTCACTTTTCAATCATAAGCTCGAACCCACTGAGGGGCTCATAGCGTACCGAAGTTAGGGGTTAGACTGTAGTCAATTCCCACTGCTGTTTGACTTCGCACATATCTTTGTATTTCTTCACTATTTAATATAATAAGTTTACATTGAATAGGATTACAGTGGTAGAGCCCGCTTTAACATCTCGCACGAATAGGCCGGCTCGCCCGGTGTAATACGACCACACAGAAAACAGGCATGAAGTGGAAGCAATTCCGCGTTTCGTCTGATGAGTGTGGTGCCGGAAGCCTAATTTTAGTCCCTTTCCACCCTTTAGAGGAGAGGATGGGAAGGAAAAGTGGATTTGACGGTGGAGGAGACGCATAGGTATGGGGAAATGTCCTCTTTATGTCCGTCTCCTCCGCCGTCAATTAAGGGTAGGCAACGCTGCAATTGCGGATGTTTATGGGCTTCGGTCGCTTTCCATTTCGGTGGATTCAGGCCGCTTGATCGTTCGCCACCTTATGTTATATAAAAAAAGATCTATTTTAATATTGCGATAAAGAAAATAATAGATTATATAAAATCAATTTATTTACAGTATAAGTTAGCTAACATTTAGGACAGAATAGTGAACTGATCTTTGTATAAAAAAAATCTCTAATGAATACATAAAATAGTGCAGCAGTGAAATTGTTTCAGAGACACTTTTAAAGTTTATAGATAATTAAAATGTAACATGTTGCGATCTCGAATGTTGTAAGTGATGCAATTTTAACTTAATGTAACATCCGGAATGAAGTGAGATCGTACGATGTGACGTCACAAACTAATATGTATAACGAACGTGTAACGGTTATAGGTGATAAGGCTTTGTTATAACGATGAAATATCTGTACTAATATAAAGAGGAAAGATTTGTATTTTTGTATATATTGAATTAATTAAAAAACTACTAATTCGATTTTTAAAATTCTTTCGCCATTAAAAAGCTGTGTTATCATATAAGCTACATTTTTTTTCTTTTTCTCAGTTACGGAGTTACAAACATATTGTAGTCTTACTTACAAAAATGCGAAAGTGTGGATGTATGTTTATTAGAGTTTGTAATTCAGCTGAAAGGATATCGATGAAATTTATCATAGAGGATAGCTTGATAATGAAAGACCCACCTGCAAGCATTACCTTTCGAATAAAAAAAGAATTATCAAAATCGGTCCACTAGCGGCGGAGTTATGCCGTAACACACATAAAAAAATATTCAGACGAATTGAGTACCTCCTTCTTTTTGGAAGTCGGTCAAAAAGATACACAAGACGATTTAGTTGCCTTTAATAATTTATTGAAAACAGTTGGTACATTTATAAAAAATCTTTGCTAACCAGTACTAAAATTTCATTATAACCTTGTTGGTTAAAATAATATACTAAAGTTACTCTACTCATACCCTTATTGATAATTACATTGTAATAGAATTCAATAGAATATCTAAATAAGACTATATTATTTGTATTTAATTTGATAGTTATGTTTCATTAAAACTAATTGTCCGTGAACGAATTAATTGTAGAACCTTCTATGATTATAATTCCGTTACAGACCTTTGAACTATCATTCGTTAACAATTCGTTAGACTCATCGCTTTACTAAGAGCGCGCACACATTTGACTAGACTATCGGACAACTGTTTAGTCTCGCTTTAGTTATGAGCTTGAAGCGCACACTCGATTTTTAGTACAACTAAGCAGTTGAAGGCAGCGGAACAATCGACATTCGTGCGATAGTTTAGATGGATGGATGTTTGTTAGAATTTGTAGCCATACGACCATTATGTTTCACTTTTTCAGTTATTTTATGATATTGTAATATGAGTAACTAAAGTGTACAACTTTATGAAGAAAGGTATTTTAACTAGATGCTGCCCGTGACATCTTCGAACGGATAATTCCGTTCTTATTAAGAATTTAGTAAATAGCCTGTATTCTTCCAATTTGTGATCTGTCTTTGGGCAACATTCGTATCAGTTAAGCTGTTTTGAAGATACGTAACTAACATCCATCAAAATTGCGCATTTAAAATATTAGCGAATACGTAGTTAGTTTTATTTTGTTGACAATCTATACAAATGTAAAGAGAAAAGATTTGTAATTCTAATTTTTGTATGTATGAAATAACGCAGAAACTACTAGTCCGTTTTCAATTTTTACACCATGGCTATATTTTTTACTTTTTTGTAATGGACGAAGTCGCGAGCAACAGCCAGTGTTCAATAAGATTCTTAAATCCGGGTGAATACTTTCACGTATAAACATTCAGTCTCTATAAAAAAATGTCTTCCTAGAGACAAAGAGATTTGCCCCGCAATTAACAAAGATAATACAGTTCAAAGTGTCAGACAAACAAACATCCGATAAATCTTCAATTTTTCTTTAATTAGACAGTAATTAATTTGGAATTATCTGACATCAAGTTGTTGGGGAAATTCTACATATTAAAATTGGAAGCAGAAACGCGAATCAAATGTCTACCACTGCTAACAGGAATTTTCTTGATGTTATCAAGTGTGGATGGATGTTACTTACTATGTACCTTTAAAATGGCTTAACGAATCTTGATGATATTTCACAGATGTGGAACATTGTTTAGAAGAACATATATGCTACTTATTGTGTTTATTTTAGCTCCTCGCTAACGAAATTGCTGGCAAAAGCGTAAAATAGTAGGTTGTATATCTAAAACTTCAATCTTTGCATTATTATATTAAAATATAACCAACCCTTTCCTAAATAAAGAGCGTCGGTGGCTCAGTGGTTTGAACACTTGACTTGTAATCTACAGGTCTTGGGTTCGAATCCCGCAGTACCAATGTGATTTTCGATTTTTCGAATTTTCATATGTACATAATTTACCCGACGTTCTTACGGTGAAGGAAAACATCGTGATGCAACCTGCACATATCGGCGAAGAAATTCAAAGATATGTGTGAAGTCGACCAGCCCGCACTGGGCCAGCGTGGTTGACTATGGCCTAATCACCCTAATTTAGGGTAGGTTCCGAGCCCCTCGGTGGGGACCTATAGTGAGCTGGTGATGTTTCGTAAATAAGAGTACTATAATTATTAGTTTTTTTATTTAACAAATGTTGATAATGAAAATTTTGTTTTCTCGTTGCTACTAACAATAAAAGAAATATTATAACCTAAAATTATCGTCAGACGGAAAGCCTTTATAATGTTCAATAACGTTGGAAATTAACGGCCGTTAGTGATAACAGCTCGTGCAAATCGAGAAACATTAAAAAACGAGATAAGATAAATGGCGCATTATTTAACAACTTGTGACCTAGATATGTATGTACCTAAGTCGATTTTTTTAACTTAATTTTACATAAAATAAACGTTTATTAAATAAAAAACTAGATTTTTTATAACACGAGTAATCAATTTTGTTAATAATAATAAAATTTTAAAATGAAAGGTTTTGAATAACTAGAAAATAGTATAACAAAATCGTCAGTCTCTCTTTGTAATGAAATAATAAAGCCCGGATTACACTTGTCTAGGACAGGACAGTTGCGACAGTTAGGGTTCACACTCTGCCAGTTGCGGTCAAAGCGCTACCAACTGTACTGGCCAAGTGTAAACCGCGCATAATAATTCTGTCTGCGATAGAAAATTGATTAGTTATCACTTATACATAAATTATGATGACACGTAACCTGTGACGTATAATTTTATCTAAAACATAAATTGATTATGAAATAACATAAATAGAAATGTTTGTTTGAAATTGCATAAACAGACGAGCAAAATGACTACATTTTATCTGGATTTTTGTATTTTAACAGTGGAAGAGCCCGCTTTAATATTCGCACGAATGGGCTCGGTCGGTGCAATACCACGACCACACAGAAACAAGGCGTGAAGTGCAATTCTGCGTTTCGTCTGATGAGTGTGGTGCCGGAGGCCTAATTTTAGTCCCTTTCCCTTTCCACCCTTTTCTTAAGTGGAAAGTATGGGAGGGAAAAGTGGAGGAGACGCATAGGAAGGGGAAATGTCCTCTTTATGTGTGTCTCCTCCGTCAATGAAGGGTATGCAACGCATCTGCAATTGCGGATGTTTATGGGCAGCGGTCGCTTCGCCATTTTGGTGGATTCAAGTGGCTGCTTGCTCGTTTGCAAACTTATATTATAAAAAAAAAATTGAAGACTAAAAGCTACAAATAATATGTGAAAATTGTCTTTCTTAGATAGTTGGTTGTAATACGGAAATATAAGAAATATCTATTTTGTTAACGTGTATAATTATAAATGTTATCGGTCGAGTTATTTGCAGCTAATTAATTTGTTTACATCCAGCAATCGTAAATGTCATATTTATTTATTGTACGACTCTGTTTACCTGAAGTGAAATTGTATTAATACCTTGAGTTAGATGTAACATCCGGTTTTACTCGACTTTGGATTAAAATTTGGAATAGATTTACAATTGCAGAACAGTCTTGAAAATACACATAGGCTATTTACTAAGTTTGATTTAATGAAAATTTATTGAAACAAAAGAATTAACTCAGACGAAGAAAATAAAAACTTCATTGTATTCTAAAAAAGTTAGGAAGTAGCTGTGTATAGTTCTTTTTTCATTTCACATACTAATTTAAATTAAGAAAATTTTCAGGTGCTGCCATCTTTTGTAGGATTAAATAATCACATAGTTCCAGTTTGTAATGTTGCTGGAGCTAGTTCATAGATGGCGGTAAAATATATTTTCCTTTAAACTATTTAAAAACCCAATTTCAAAAAGGAGCTACAACATTCGATATATTTTTTAATCGATTACTCTTAGATTTATAATTCAATTTAGGTGAATCTTTTTTTTTGTATGATGGAATATAGGTGCCATTTGGTGTCATACAAAATTCAAAACAATTCTTCAGTTTTCGAATTACTCTTAAAATATATACGAAAAGTCTTACTGACTTCTAAAATTCTATGTTATTTATGTCAGATAATTATAATAAAACAAACATAATAAAAACATATTTACATTTATTGTACTTTTAAAAAGTCATACTTTATCATATAATTTGCTGTCATTTTAGTAATCTGTTGAATAAATTTCCATATGAATGTTTTTCAAGTTTCTCTATAGTAATGTGGAGCTATTTCCGTGAGCCAGTGCTGTTGTATGGTGAGGATATCTCTCATGTATGTGTTGTTGCCCACATTCGCCACATTAGCGAAAACCACCCTGAAAGAAAATTATTTTAATACGGTAGGATATTTATAATCTATACTTATATACTATTATAATAAAGCGTAAACACACACTTCTTTGTTGCCTAAGATGTCAGCAATTACAGCATATTTTTGAATAATTCCTTCTATAATAAAAAAGCCCCGTACTTAAGATAAGGTTTAGGCTATATATTTTCACGCTAGTTATCTTAGGAGGTAAGTAAATTTGAAAAACACCTAACTGTAGGAAATACCATAAACTACGAGCCAACATTAAGGAAGCAAGGTTATGGTAACGGTAATTGACATTTGCAATGGATTATTTGACAAATGTTAATAAAATAAAGTTTTTACAATTTGATGCGGATGAAGCCGTACGAGAACAATTAGTCTTACCAATATAAAGAGAAAAGATTTGTATTTCTGTATTTAACTCAAAAACTACTGAAGCGATTTGAAAAATTCCCTATTAAAAAGGTTATCAGTGAGTGACATAGGTTATATTTTTTTTTTAAATTTAACACGAGTGTATTACATAAATCAGTATAATTAACCATTTCGGTTGTTGTTGCTGATATAAACAGCTATCAGGACTTATGCGCAGCGCCGCGCCGCGCACGCCGCGGTACTGTCCGCTGAGCGCGAGGCGCGCCGCGTGCGGGAACAGGCCCGACACCGCGCACTTCATTACACGGACACATTTACCTGAAAACTACTAATACAGTGTACTCTATATAACGACATTGTAAGTCCATTTTATGACGTTATAGAGTGACCGTTAAATAAACATAACATAAGTCAGAATTGAAATAAGAATAGTTTACTTCAAAATGTTAGTAGTTATATAGCACTAAGGTATAAATAAATAATATTATTTGAACGCTATTGCGTAGTGTTATTTTTGTCTTTGATGCACCAGTAATTATTTTGTATTTATTTATTTTACGCAAATTTTTTTATAATATAAGATGGCAAACTCGCAAGCGACTTGAATCCACCGAAATGGAAAGCGACCTGTGCTAGACATCCGCAATTGCAGCGCTGCCTACCCTTTATTGACGAAGGAAAAGCACATAAAGAGGACATTTCCCCTTCCTATGCGTCTCCACCGTCAAAGGGAAAGGGACTAAAATTAGGCCTCCTGCATCACACTTATCAGACTGTACGCGGAATTGGTTCCACTTCACGCCTGTCTGTGTGGTCGTGGTATAGTTGGGGACGAGCCCTGCAGTGCTAAGATGTTAAAGCGGGCACTACCACTGTAAAAATATCTTTAATAATCAATATTGAGCCATCTTAGTAATGGACAAAAGAACTTACACAGCTGTGCAGTTAATTTTAAACTTTTAAATGGTGCTTTTTATTACTCAATTGTTATGAAGAGTGGATGTAACGCTATGTAATGTATGGAAGACAAAGTAAATCAATCAAAGCCAATCGAAAGACGTTACGTAAAGTTTACCTCTTACTAATATTATAAATGCGAAAGTTTAGATGGATGGATATTTGTTGGAGTTTGTAGCCTAAACGACTAAATACACTTTGATGAAATTTGGTACAGATGTAGATGATATTCTGAAAGAACACATAGGTAAATCACTTTTATTTTTTTTGAATTCCACGCGAACGGAGTCGCGGGCGAAAACTAGCGAAAGTTTAGATGTATGGATGTTTGTTAGAGTTTATAGTCTAAACCTCACCACTTCCTAGATCGGGTCCTTCGAAAACTTTTTCCTCTATTTTAAACTTGTCTTTTATTAATTTCTCCAGACTTTGTCGTATTTCATATGCCTGTAAGTAATACAGATTAACTTACACTCTTTGAAAAAAGAAGAAATACATATTTAAAACTTTTATTAACAATTTACATAACAGCGCCATCTAGCGGCTAAAACAGATTAAATTTAAAACTTGAAAACAGCGCCATCTAGCGATATCTCGATATTATTTTGATTATGTCTAAAAACAATGTGAAAACTGAATTAAAAACTTATCCATACCTTCTCCATAACTCGATAATTGATATACATCTTCTGACACCAGGCTTTACATGACTTTTTATATTTAGACGTGTCTTTTGTCCTGACATTTAGATATGCGTCAAATATATTTAAATACATTATAATATCGCCTTCTGCTACCTGAAATAAATGCATAGTTAATATCACGCTTTTAATCGATTTTTAGGTAAACAGGGAGCATAAGAATATGAACTTTACAACTTTGCCAATATTGTAAATGTAAAATTTTGTATGAATAATAATAAACTTTATTTCGAGCTATATTTCTTTTTTGCTCATAGTTTTTTAGTAACAGAAAAAACTTAATACCTATGTTAGTCACACATACATCTAAATATTATTCTAAAATGTTTAGTTAGTTACCTATTTTTAGAACAACGAGGCAGATCTAGTTAAAATTAGACAGAATTAGGAAGTCTGGAAGAATACAAAGTCTAATAATTAAAATTCTATTTAAATCAACGCAGACTAACTCACGGGCAACAGCTAGTTATAAATATTTACATTTCTTTTCTTCTAAAGTAGCAAAGAAATAAATTTTCTCTATGGCACGATTAAATTTTTCAGCTTTTTCATTAATTTTAGTTGTAAGAGGAAGAGACGTTTAGTATTCTTACCTCAAAGTTATTTCTTCGTGATATCTTAGCGTTAATATTCCCCTTCCCGCTGGCAGGGGAGAGGAACACGCCGTCCACCTGCAGCATTGATACTATGGAGAGCATTTCCTCGATACAACCGTATTCACCTGAAAAATATATTTAAACATATTAATACTTTAATTAAATAAAAAAATATTACAATACAAAAATTTCAAATTAAACTACAAGTGAAATCTCTTGTATATAACATTTTTTTATGTTATTACTAGTTTCAATACAATTTGTTGGCAGTTTAAATAGATTTTGTTTTAACTTTTAAAACTAGATGGCGCTGTTAAGAATCCTGAATCACGTTCTTAGAAGTATGAAAATGAATCTTGTTTTAAAGTTATGATCACTCTAACGACACATATAGACAATATTTTTCACGGGTAACTTCTTTGTACAGTAATATCTCAATGTTAAATTTCAAACCGAGAAGCTTTTCAGTGTCTGAATTATTTGCTTGTTTGTGATTTTGACGCCAGGTAGCGCTTGTGAAATTATGTATAAAATGTTTCAAACTATGCTTACTCTATATTCTTCAAATCTCTTTGTTATACAAAAGAAATATAATATACTAGCTTTCGCCCGCGACTCCGTGAGTGTGGAATTTAAAAAATCAATAGTAAGTAGCCTATGTGTTCTTCCAGACTATCCTCTACATCTCTTCCAAATTTCATCGAAATCCGTTCAACCGTTTAGGCTACAAACTCTAACAAACATCTATCCATCTAAACTTTTGCATTTATAATATTGGTATGAGTATATGATTCGCAACAATTTCGAATTTAGTAACTAGATGGCGCTGTACAGAATCAGGATAAGGCTTAATTACATGTAAATTATTATTTTTTTATAATACTCTAACAAAACAAGTTATTTATTAAGACGCGTACAAATTAACCAAATAAGAGTTTGTCAAACCAAATTGTAAATTGTCTGATAACAATCCAACGTGTAAAATATGTGATGGAAATAGATTTTGTTACCTTATTTGATAGTGACGTCATAAGCTATCTGAGCCTCTATCAGCTAGTGGTGGGACAGGCCCTAAATCTTGAATTTAATCGACTTTTAAATAGTCAAAAACTTTCTCAATTATCTGTATATTTTTACTTCATAACACTTTCTAATATATTCACATATTGTTGAAAACTCACCGCTGTTGCACAACATGTTGGCGAACATCGGGTCCAAGGGCAGTTCGGCGAGCCGCGCGCCGTGTGACGTCATCGCGCCGTCGCCGGCCAGCGCCCGCAGCGCGAACAGCGTCTCCAAACCTGATATCAGACTCTTCGCTGGAGGAGGCGTGGGGAATGTGAACCTGAAATACATAAAAAAACAAAAGATAATTTAGCTTTTTAATGGTAAAAGAATTTTTGAAATCGGTATTTACTAACTCATAGTTACATTCCACGTATCTAATTTTTCTCTTGTACGCGAAACATTGTATTTTATCAGAATAAAATATCTTTAAACCATTTTATCAATATAAAAATCGACAGGTTAGTTTTTAGTCGACACAGGAATAATTGTTAATACCTTAGGGCCATAATTGAAAGGGATAGACAAACCATAAATAATTTGATTTTATCTTATTTACATTTCATAAAACTTAATAAATCGCTAGTTCATCTTACTATCGTTAGATGGCGCTCTTCCCAATATTTTCATTCTCTTATTTGTATAATTCAGGAAAAGGTTACTAGATGGCGTTATTTTTAATTTATGATTATTCTATACATACCTTAAAACATTATGTATTCCAAGTGCTTTAAGCTGCAGCAACATAGAGGCTAAGTTACTGCGGCACATCTCCGGCGGTATAGAACTTGGTAACTTGTCGTATTCACTTTCTGTGTACAATCTGTAATGTTATACATCAATAATTACTTTCTCGAGGTGTTATTCTGACATTTTAATGGTAATAAAATTAGAAACAACAGAAATAATGTAAATATCATTCACAAACTGGATTTACAGTTGAGTTGGCACGTCCAACATAAGAGTACTCTAATTCACGACGTGCCAACTTAAATACAGTAATTTTAATTTTCCCTATACACAATTTTAACTAATAAGTACTATATACTTTACTATACTTTACCTATAACATTTCCCGCGACTAGTCCTGCCCGCCCGGCCCGCTCGCTGTCGCGCATTATTCTTAGATATAGCAGTGATACAGACAGACTGCACACCCACCGCTGGATCGAAGTACGGCAACTTGTGGAAACCGCAGTCGATTACTAAAGATAAATATTAAATAAACATATATTTAGGTAAAGGCAACATTTAAGAAATATAGTCTAGACATAGTTAACATTTTTTGTTGTGTACGTGTTGTATTGGAACAAAAAATAATACAAAATTATAAAAAGCTCCATCTATATGTCACAAAATAAAATAAAAACATTTAAATATGATTTAGTGACATCTATTGGCAATTGGAGTGTAAAGTGTCAGCTAAATTTTTTAATCTGTTTAAAGGAACATTGTTACATTAGTTAAGGGTTTATGAAATTAATTAATCTAGAAGTTTCTTTTCAAATAAGGACTAGGATTATACTTCAAATATCAAAATGCCTCCAAATATAACAAATAGAGTCCTACCCCCATCCTTTCATCAGATTGTGAATAATTTGCCCATATCTCTGGAGATTTTTTATTCGTGTAAATTTTGGATATCGAATCTTTCTAGCCCCCAAAAATTTAATTAGATTCGCTAATTTTAACTGAATAAAGCAGAGTTGACAACCTCAAAAACAATTAAGATTTCCTAAAAATCAATTGAAACGCCCTAAAAATTGAGACCCCCAAAAACCGATCAAAGACCCCCAAAAATAAACACCATAAAACTCAATTTTAAACCCCCAACCTCACCATATACAATCCCCGGTATAGTAACACTGGTCTCCGCAATATTAGTTGCCAGTATCACTTTGCGCACGTTGCTGTCTGCCATCTGGAACACTTTGAGCTGTCTGTGGTGTGGCATGGTGCCATACAGCGGCAGCACTGACACACTCGCCGCCCGAATGCCACTCGCGAAATGTCGCCTGTGTTTATTAGCCTCGTCATTCTCTTCTGCATACTGCTGGAGTACTTCTAAAGCTGATAGTATTTCTTCCTAAAAACGTTTGTTACCATACTAATATTATAAATGCGAAAGTTTAGATGGATGTTTGTTAGAGTTTGTAGCCTAAACTGCTCAACGGATTTCGATGAAATTTGGTACAGATGTAGAGGATAGCATGCAAGGACACATAGGCTACTCACTTTTGTTTTTTTTAATTCCACGCGAACGGAGTCGCGGGGAAAAGCTAGTTAAAAATACGACAGACATACAAGTCCATAATAAGACCTGTTTCGTATGGATCTGAATTTTGGGGTACCAAAATTTTTGAAAGGAGAGTGCATGGGAATGGATGGTTGGGACAAGGGATAAAGTTAAGAATTTACTAGCTTTCGCCCGTGATTCCGTCCGCATGCAATTAAAAAAAAAAACAAAGAAAGTAGCCTATGTGTTCTTCTAGACTATCCTCTACATGTCTGCCATTTCATCGAAATCCGTTGAGCAGTTTAGGCTACAAACTCTAACAAACCTCCATCTAAACTTTCGCATTTATAATATTAGTAAGATAGGATTTTATAAAGAATAAAGAAATTGAAAAACAAAAGGTTAGCGCTGTATGGACGTTATACAAGATGGGGACATAAACCAAAAAGTGTTAGCTTGAATGTGGCTACACAGGAGGAAAACCATAGATATTTATTACTTTACTAGCTGTTCCCCTGCGACTTCGTCTGCATGAAATTATGAAAATTTTATTTTATTGTTTACATATGTCAAATTATCAATTACAAATGTCAAAATGACATGACATGATGACAACCTTGCTTCCTTGATGTTGGTAGCAACTTATGGTCTCTTTTCCACATTAGGGTTTTTATCCAAAATATTTACCCCCCAAGTTTAATGGCGTTAAAATATATAGGCTAAAGCGTGATGTAAGTGTAGGGCTTTTTGTTAAAAAAAGAATAATTCAAAAATATGCAGTTATTACTGACATCTTAGACAACAAAAAAGTGTGTAAAGAAGTGTGAGTAATTTGCAGACATACAAAAATGTCTTTATGAACAAACCTGTGACGTCAGAAAGGCTAGAATATCCCCAAATGGTTCGTTTTCATGTATTTTGATAACTGTATCTACTGTGGCCTTTACATAATCTGCTACTGGTTCTAAAAATAACAAGGGAAATTAGAAATAAAAGAAAAAAACAATTAAATAAGTTTTATATGTGCATTACGTATTTCTAAAAACAATATTCTCAAACCTCCCTTTCAAAATTTCAATATTTTAGAAACCCCTACATTTTAAAACTTTGAGTAGCGCAGGTAATATTTTTCTGGGAAACAATGGTCTTTTATCTTGTAAAATATAAAAATAATATATACTAGGTAGACCTAGAAAGAGATGTATGGATTGTGTGAAAGGTGACATGATCAAGAAGGGAGTGATTACTGAGATGACGGATGATAAGAGTGCTTTGGAGGACGAAAACCCGGTGCGCCGACCCTACGGGAGTAGGATAAGGCAGGGGAGATGATGATATACTAATATTATAAAGAGGAAAGATTTGTATTATATGTATTGAAATAACTCAAAAACTACTGGACCGGTTTCAAAAATTCTTTCACCATTAAAAAGCTACGTTATCAGTGAGTAACATAGGCGACATTTTAATTTTTTTTTTACTCCACGCGGCCGTAGTCGCGAGCAATAGCTAGTCATAATTTTACCTTCGACATAAAACACATCAATAGGATGAGTCCGTCCCTGCATTGACATTATCACTGACGTACTCTTTCTGTCTACCTCCTTTTTGTTTGTTAGATTGAAGAAATCTCTCAGAAACTCAGCGTCCATTGTCGCTGACGATATTACTAACTTGAGATTTTTACGTTTCTAAAACAATAAAAAATATAATCAAGAAAATATGTCTGATAACTTAAAGTTACATTTTAGGGCGTGTCCCACCAAATTGTAAATTGTCAAACAATCCAACGTGTAAAATGTGTGATAGAAATATCCAATTTTGTTCCCATATCTGACTGACGTCATTTTTAAGCTATCTAAGCCTCTATCAGCCAGTGGTGGGACAGGCCCTTAATTTTTTAAAAGACTTACTTTGGCTATTTTCTTTAATAATCCCATAAGAACATCTGTCATTTGAGTTCTCTCATGGACCTGTGGAAAACATTATTAAGACAATCTATACTATTATAATAAAACGTAAATACACACTTCTTTGTTGCCTAAGATGTCAGCAATTACAACGTATTTTTAATAATACTATTTTTAATAAAAAGCCCTACACCTATGTCATGCTTTAGGCCATATTTTTTCACAAGGAACTTAGGGGGTAAATATTTTGGATAAAAACCATAATGTGGGAAAGAGACCATAAGTTGCTGCCAACATCAAGAAACCAAGATTGCTAAGCTTTGTCACGTCATGTCATTTATCACGAGCAATAGCTAGTTTATTATACTTTAAATAAAAAAAAATGTTGGGTAGTCTATGGACTATACCAGAGTGCTATTTATTTTCCGTTTAGTTCTGGAGTTACATGGTAAAACATCCATACAAAATTTTGCTTTAATACTGAAAATTATTATTAAGATTTTCCCCCGACTCCGTCAACGTCGAATTAAAAAAGCAAGTAGCATTTGTATCCCAGACTATCCTCTACATCTATGCCAAATTTCATCGAGATCCGTTCAGCAGTTTAGGCTAAAAACATCCATCCATCTTAAAATAAATAAATAAAACACTATTTGACCAAAAGAAAATTAAAAGAACACAACGTACAATTATTACTGAAAAAAAAAAAAGATACAAACTCTTGGTCAAAAGGAAAAGGCTCAGCTGATACGGCCTCCAGCTTGTCACTGAAGGCCGCGTTTTCAGCATCCCCTAAACTACTATAACATGGTTCAGTTTATAATACAGGGGGCAGTTGAGATTTATAAGCCATAATTGCACTTATGTGTGTGTTGCTGTGTATGTGAATGTATTTGTGTATTGTTGCGTAGGCTTGTGTGCGTTTGTGTGTGCGATGAGGGAAAATAAATATATATAATAAACTCGCATTTATAATATTAGTAATCAATTAACATGCGTACTGATTACTCAAGTGGCATGTCTCTATGATGTCATCAATTATTTGACGTGACAAATCGTGTCAATTAGTGTTTTAATTCTTCAACCAATTACAACTGATTTTATTGTCCTAATTGATTTAAACCGGTAGATATAAATGACAGTAAAATACAGTAATTTTCAAGCACCCTGTATATTTAATAAGTGTCATAAGTATATACTAATACTATAAAGAGGAAAACTTTGTTTGATTGTAATGAGTAGGCTTAAAAACTACTGGGCCGATTTTAAAAATTCTTTCACCTTTAGAAAGGTAATTTATCTGTGAGTAACATAGGCTATATTTTTAAATTTCACGGAGACGGCGTCGCGGGCAAAAGCTAGTATTTAATAAGACTGAAGCATGTCATGTCAATTTTAATGTCTGAGGTGTTTAATATTTTGTGACAACTCTCACCTGGTCAAATAAATTTGTCACACTAAAACAAACAATACGTCATTGCCTAAAAAGCGTAAGCGTAAATTGCCTAAAAAGCAATCTAATATTATAAATCTAAATAATAAAGTTTAGATGGATGTTTGTTAGAGTTTGTAGCCTAAGCTGCTCTCTCTCTCTCTCTCTCTCTCTCTCTCTCTCTCTCTCTCTCTCTGGATGATTATCATAGTCTGTAATACATAGGCTACTTACTTTTTAAACTTTTACGTTTTTTATAATTCCACGCGAACGGAGTCGCATGCCACACTTGTATCCTATAATTAGGGAACGTTTCCACTAGGTGACAATAAAATTAATATAATTATTACCTCATCCAGTACAATACAGGTATACTGCATTAAAAGTGGCGAAGCAAACATTTCTCTTAGTAGCACACCTTCCGTCATGAACTGAAAACAAAGTACATTATCACAAAACTGGCTTCAATGTTGTTCTTTGGAAGGACAAGGAAAATATTTAAAAATATATTTAAAAACAATATTAGAAATATTTAAAAATATACATTTATTATAGAGTTAGTACTCTCTACTAGTTAGTTAGTCTCTTAGATCAATCCTTCGTCATCTTAAGCGCCAGTAGCCTAATAGCCCAGGTTTGGGGTACGGACTACCGATCTATTATACCGAGCCATTCGACTATTGTCGTGAACCATGTTCTAGCACAAGCCTACAGCTTAGTTGAAATGGTTAAAGGAATTATTAGAAAATTAACAAGAATCTTCTAAATGTAAAATAAAACAACTTCTAAACAGCATTTTAAATTTTAACGTAGTTTATTGGTATCGAGCCAACTCATCAGAAGCAATCAGGTCAGGGATGTGCAGCGAGAAGAAAACAAAAAAAAAATCGAAAATATTGAAGTGGTTAATGAAAAGAACAGCGTTTTTGAATCCACTTCCGAAAGACAAGTACAGTCGGGGACTTTTATTTCCTACCCCATAGTGAAATATTTGACTCTCACAATGCACATTAAAAAGTTATAAAAAACATTGAAAACGTGTGGATTAGTACTGCTGTTGCGTTTTCCTATACGATATTCGACCTCAAGTGGACAGCGGATTTAATTCTTTGGCTGGATAAAAATGTCCAATACATTATCTTTTATGTACAAAGATATATTTCGTGCAGGTGTTTGTAAAACTCACTGTTAAATTAGCTTATCTATATCTGTACTATTATAATAAAGCGTAAACACACACTTCTTTGTTGCCTAAGATGTCAGCAATTACACCATATTTTTGGATAATTATTTTAATTAAAAGCCCTACACTTACGTCAAGCTTTAGGCTATATATTTTCACGCCATTAAACTTAGAGGGTAAATATTTTGGATAAAAACCCTGATGTAGGAAAGAGACCATAAATTGCTGCCAACATCAAGGAAGCAAGGTTGCCATTATCATGTCATTTGACATTTGCAATTGATAATTTGACACATGTAAACAGTAAAATTTTCATAATTTTATGCGGATGAAGTCGCACGGGTACAGCTAGTGTGATATAAAAGGGTTTTCAATTACGTGTTCTTGAAATTATTTAAGATATAATATCTGACCTTTACAATTTGATATGTTATATTAATTTATCGCTTTGATAATCCAATTTGTCTACAAATATTGATAACATTATGGGAAGACTAAGAAAACTATGAGTAACAGTAATTAATTATTAAAGAAAAATTAAATAGATACGTTTTTTGGCTATGATATCCTCCTATTTTTAAGTAATAATTGTAACTGCACACGGAACAAAAAGGCGCGCTTCTTACGTTCGAACTCCTTTGTGAATAATGGCATCTGTCAAAGGGGACATGACGTATATGTCAGTGATTCAGTGTTGCACTGCTACTATGGTACGATACTGATTTTCTACTTAACACTATAAAACAGTTTTCATTTACTGCACTTTTATAATAATCAAAGGAACAAGAAAAGAAAATGTATTCTGTCCGTGCTCTTATTGCGTTACCCAACCTGTTTTTTAATTGTCAACTACCAATAGGTAACAAATCCGTCTTGCATTGCTAGTTTAGACTTAGTACTCACCACAATGCCAGTATCAGTGGTCCTAGCTGACGTCATCGAGGCAGCATAGCCCACAGTGTGGCCAGGTTCTTCCCCCCTCTCGGTAGCCACTCTGGCCGCAAGCGTCACCGCCGCGGCCACTCTGGGCTGCGTCACGCATACTCTGTGTCCGATTTCGTATAAATACTGTAATAAGATAGTTTTTTTAATTACATAGAACAAGCAATGGGAATCAATTCATCTGCCATGAACAAAGCACTGCAGAAGCGAACTCAACTGAAATTTAACTCTGGCTTTTGAGAGATACACTAGCTTGAGAGGTTACTTGGACACCGTTCACAGAAAGTTACACAAGGCAATGATTTATAGATTCAGTAATTTTCATAATGTTAGCTTTTTAACTATTTTGATATAGTCTGTATTCTTAAAAGTTATTTAGTCTTTGCTATAAATCAATACCATTTATCTTTATTGAAAATATCAATATTAACTTTGTAATTATGATCGAACGCATTATTTAAATATTCATTTCACAATTTTAAAACGCAAGAATTCTATATGTTATGTTAATAATCGGACAGTAATCAGATGTCAGAAATAAAAGTGGGGTATTAACTGGGCTACACGACGGCCATATTGGTAGTGGTTAACAGGGATGGTGGATACATGGGAAAATGGTGTTATTGGTAAGGTTATTCTAAACAAATTAGAAGAAAACATAAGAGTTAAAGAACTCATTTTATTAAACCATAACATGGCTAGAAATAATTGGAATGCAATCTACGGGGCTTCCCCCTTTCAATTTGTCCTGTCGAACCATGGTAAGAACATCTATGTACCTTGTAACAAATAGCTTCCTTCTTTCCATAAAAATGTAGGTTAACCATCTCTAGACATAACAACAGGATAAAATCATTCGTTCAGTCAAAGTTCAACACATCACGCGATATTTCATTATTCATTGAATTTTTAACTCCATGTTAACTACAATTAATCAGTAATTCAGATATTTTCATACGATAACATAAAATTGGATTTATCATAGAAATAACAACTATTCATTTGATGTCCGAAATTACACAGTTAAAGAATTTAATTCCCATCCCACTGTACATCGAAAATCATAGTCAACATACATATGTACATAAAAGACTCTGTAAAAACAAAGTTTTATTTTTATTTCCCTTCCATTTATCGACAGGGTAACAACATTTTACCTTAAAAGCCCTTACATATTTCCATCACATGATTCATCTAACTATAAATTGTTAAAAGCAATATCGAATGTTTTCTATCGCGTGTGTAATCTTATCGACAACTCTTATTTATGGTAGAGGTACACAATAGCCCTGAATCATCGTACAAACTAGCTGTTGCTCGCGACTTTGGCCGCCTGAAACCCCTGATCTAAGCAATTCACATTTTTATACATGTAGAAAGTGAATGCCAAATAACTTCGACTTGACTATTCTTAGACATAGTGTGTCCATGCCCTTATTGCTCAGTGAGGTGGAACGTATTGATTGTTAGTACGACATTGTGTAAGTATACAAAGATACAATACGTACGGAGCTATTAATTGAGATTGCAAGTCAAGACTTTAAACCATCTACTTTATATCCCGCAATTAAAGGATCTGAAGGGTACTAGTCCCTTGTTGCCTTAAGCCACACACATGCTCGCAGGTAATCAGAGCGTTACTAAAGTTTGAATCTTGTTATACAACTTCAACAATGACTAAGTCCACTTCATTCATAATCTGTCATTTACGTACTATCTCCATGACACAGGTGTTCGTAATCTTGTGATATCTGCCCGTGTAATAGTCAATTGATTGCTTGATAAATATTACTTTGAAATGATAGCAACACAGCAACAAATGTTGATTAAACCATACTTATTTTATAAATCCGAAAGTTAAGACGAATGTTTGTTAGAGATTGTAGCCTAAACTGCTGAACAGATCTCGATGATATTTGGTATAGATGTAGAGGATAGTCTGGAAGAACACATAGGCTACTCATTTTTGTGTTTTTTAATTGTAATATATGTTTTGAATAGTGGAGATATACCAATTATTGATAACTAGTTGTGGTCTATAACTATGATTGCACGTAATTAAAAAAAAAAACAAAATTACTAGCCTATGTGTTTCTTTAATATAAATTAAAGAAAGAATATGCATGTGTTTTTTTTTTCTTTTTTTAAACGATTCTACTAGTTATAAAATAACCAGAAAAAAAATTGACGTGAAAATATTCAACCATTGAGCTAAAAAAATAAAATAAAATTACGACCATTTTCGAGCGACTAAAACGCGACCGGAGTTGTCAATAGACAATTGACGTCAATCGTCTTATTCCATACATAACATACGCTTAGATGTCACTTCGACGTAAAAAACAACAAAGCTTTTTATTTTAAAGTTGGTTTTGATATCGTGTTTACAGTAAAATACTTCAAGAGTGTATTTCTATATAAGCTAACGTAAATGAACAGTGTATTGACAACACAGCGACGTCATATTAGACAAGCCATTTGCTTCGACCAATAGTGTGCGTTTTAGAACTTAGCGAGGGAATTTGAAAAAATACACTTTTTAATGATTAAAATTTGCCACTAAATCACATTATATTAAAAAATCTTTGCACGAATGTTTTTATAGTAATAAAGTATACTTAATAAAAGTTTGGTACAATTTGGCTTCATATGCACATTGCCTATTATTCAAAAATATGCTGTGATTGCTTACATTATACACAACAAAGCATGTTTACTCTTATATTAGACTAGACATGTCTTGATCATTTTGTTTGTGATCACCTTTCTTAATAATTGGGGACTGTTGTCACCATGACAGTGCTAAAAGTGTACTGTAACACAATTCTGAGTACGTCGTTTATTAGGGATCAATAAAACTATGTATAATTATGTCGTAAAATAATCTATCTTCATTGACAGCATAAAATTTAACTAACTATACAAACAAGAGTATTATGTCCACTTGCCTTAGTCAATACTATTATAATAAAGCGTAAACACACACTTCCTTGTTGCCTAAGATGTCAGTAACTACAGCATATTTATGAATAATTTTTTTTTCAATAAAAAGCCCTACACGTCACGCTTTAGGCTATATATTTCACGCCATTAAACTTAAGGGTAAATATTTTAGATAAAAACCCTAATGTGGGAAAGAGACAATAAGTTGCTGTCAAAAACAAGGAAGCAAGGTTGTCATGGTTTGTCATCATGTCATTTTGCAATTGATAATTTGACTCATGTAAACAGTCGCACGGGAACAGCTAGTTTTTTCTAAAGTTAAAAAGAGGTGCAGTTGAATATATTGTTTTTTATCACTTCTTAGTAATTTAAAAAGTTTAGATGGATGTCTGTTAAAGTTTGTCGAGACTGCTGAACTCGTCTCGATAAAATTAGGCTTATACGTAGAGTATAGTCTGGAATACATGGGCTACTTTTTGTAATTCCACTACACGGAGTTCAATCAGAATGTTAAGATGGATGTGTGGGGTAACACGATTGGATAAGATACGAAATGAGTATATTAGAGGAAGTTTGAGAGTAGCCCATGTGGTGAGAAAATAAGGAATAAAAGGTTAGAGTGGGGGCATGTTGTGGGAAGGGATCAATCGCATGTAACAAGACGGACGTTATTTATGAATGTGGTGGGGTACATCGGTACAGTAGACCTAGAAAGAGATGGATGGATTGCGTGAAAGGTGACATAATCAAGAAGGGAGTGATGACTGAGATGATAGATGATAGAGTGTTTTGGAGGACGAAAACCCGGTGCACCGACCCTGCGGGAGTATAAGGCAGGGGTGATGATGACTCAGACGGAGTTCGGAACAAAAGCTAGTTACAAACATTAGCTTTTTGATTTCTTTCCTTGCGAAGACAACAATAGTTTTCGTTAGTCCATCATCGCCTAAATGTTAACGCAATATTTTTAACTGTTTATTTATTTCATTTCTTACAACATACTCTCCGGGAGTGACCCCATTCAGTTTCACTCAAGGTAAGTGTTGCGTGATACAAATTTAAAATTACCTAAATGAAAACATTTAAAAACTAAAATTTAATTTACTTTATACGATTTAAAATTGTTGATTTATTTATTTCAAAAAACTCTATTTTGTTAACAATTAAATAATGTTCCAAAACAATTTGAAACAGACATAACATTTAATAACTACTACTATTAACTACTTTTCCTCTGCGACTCCGTCCGCGTAGAATTAGAAAAAATAAAAGTGAGTAGTCTATGTGTTCTTCCAGACTATCTTCTACGTCTATACCAAATTTTATTGAAATTTTTACAGCCGTTTAGGCTACAAACGCTAACAAACATCCATCCATCCATCTAAACTTTCGCATTTATAATATTAATATAGTTAGAATAGTGATTAGTATGAAGTATGATAACGCATTTATAAATAAGCTAGTACCATTAATTAGGCTTAAAATAAAATCATTTAAAAATTTAATAATTTTATCGTCTTGCGGAATATTCATTATCACCAGCTCACTATACGTCCCCACCGAAGGGCTCGGAGAGCCTACCCTAATAAGGGGTGACTAGGCCATAGTCAACCACGCTGCACTGCGGGTTGGTTGACTTCACACATATCTTTGAATTTCTTCGCCGATATGTGCAGGCATCACGGTGTTGTTCTTCACCGTAAGAACGTCGGGTAAATTATGTACATATGAAAATTCAAAAAAATCGAAAATCACATTGGTACTGCGGGATTCGAACCCAAGACCTGTAGTAGACTACAAGTCAAGTGTTCAAACCACTGAGCTATAATATAATAAGGACGGAATATAATAAGGATAAATTACAAGGATAATCAATTTGACATTGTTTTTTGAACAGTTAATAACAAATTGGCACAAACACCAGTAAAGAATAATAATAATTTATTTATTTCATGTAACAATTATTACAAATATAAGGATGTAAAAATTGACAGTACAAAATTAGAGATACATAAAGAAAAGAAAAGACAAAAAACTAATGCAATCTAGAATCTATACTATATAAAGAGGAAAGGTTTGTATTTACGTATGTATTGAAATAACTAAAACTACTGGGCCGATTTCAAAAATTCATTCTCCAAGCTACGCTAAAACATAGTTTTTTTTTATTTCACGCGGCAACA